AGGTAGTAGGTGAGCACCTGCCTTCTCAGTATCCCCTGGTGTTTTAACGGTCAGGAAAGTTTGTATTAGCCTGATCAACATCGGTAGTTAGGTACCGGATCCCTTTTATCGCTTTCATTCAAAAGGCAAATACGTCGATTTATTTTTATTTTAATAGGTGGCAAGGCGGTCTTGTGGTTTACCGTTAGGATTGTTGACTCAAAATCCGAAGGTTCTGGGTTTGAATCCCTGGCAGTTCCTATTGTTGTGCCCTTGGGAAAGGCACTTTACACCTACTTCCTCACTTGACTCAGGTGAAAATGAGTACCTAGCTCGTCCTCTTGGATAAGATGTTAAGCCGGAAACCCCATGTAGAGGCACACCTTGAGCAGGGGTCCTTCCCGGTGGAAGTACTTCAAACCTCACAGTCTGGTCTCAGGTTTGACATCTTGAAGAGGTGATAGCCACCTGTTATGTCAACCCTTCCACAATGTGGTAGATTTTAATAAATCACAATTCAACGAGTACAGGGTAGGGAACCCACGTGTACTGAGAGAAAGAACGGATGGTTGACTGGCTATTTTTATATATATATCAGCAACATACGGACCATTTCCTTAATTGACGGAAATTCCTGTTGACTTTCTTAAGGCTCAGGTATTTCCTTCCTTGTGCCGCTCCTTTCTTCAGTAACGTGACGCCACACGAACTGCACCCAACCATGTAGAATACCCCACAGCTAAAGGCCGCTATCCTGCTTAGTGACAGCCCATTCGTAGAAAATGACATCGCTTCAAGCAACACCTTCAGTCATTTACAGATATCTGTTTCCGGCTTTAACATTGTCTGAAAACCATGAAAAACAGCTGTTTTTCGCATACCAAAAATCATCAATGGCTTCGCTCTCAAACCTACCTACATGATACACACACACAGAACCAAAAACAGACATTTCATAGCCTCCTGTCCAGACTTCTAGCCGGGTAGCGTTTGTCAGTCTACGAGCGAATTTTAGCCGCTAGAGCTGTGGTTTCGGGGAGGAGGGGAAAGGTATCTTTTCTACAAGGGATTAAAGGATTGAAGATATCAAAGAGGAGGTAAACCTCCTTGAAGATATCAAGGGATTGAAGATATTCATTAGTAAGTCTTGCTTTGGTGCTGTTGCAAGCCCCGTTAAGTTTTACGCAATGCAAGGTAATGTCAACTTGATGCAAGCCCCGTTAAGATTTGCGCAACGACAGGTAATTTAAGTTGTATGTTGCAAGCCAGACTGTCAAGTTTGCGCAATGACAGGCAATGCTAAGTTGATGCAAGACTGGGAAAGACTTGCGCAATACCAAGCACTGTAATCCCATGTAATCCCAGAGCTTTACCTTAAGTCCAAATCTCTCGAGTTTTACTAAACAATAGCTATAATCACCCACTATAGATATAAAGAAAGAGATTGCCGCTAGCTTGTTAAATCGGTCCCTTTGTTCCTTTCTTTGAAATCAATCGATAAATACGAACGTACGGAAATATTACATTTTTTCGCATAACTGCATTATTATCAGTTTGGGTGGGAAAAAAATCTCAGATTTTGAGTTAGTCTGCTGAGGTCATGGGGTCACTGAGTCGGTCACCCAACATGTACCCAATACTACTTGCATATCTGTATATAATGTGTGGTAATGATAAGTGTCGTGCACGAGGTGTGGCTGTCCTAAATCACGGAAACTCCGACAGTTTTTCTTATCCTTAACTCTGTCGCCGTGTTTGGTTACAGTCGAACTGCCGACACCACAGAGGGAAGCAGCTGGCGGCTCTCGTCAGGCAAACACGTGAAGAAGCGCCCCCTTTCGGAAACATCGACCAGAACACTTCGGAAAAGTTGCCACCTGACCACGCGTACTACACCAAGTCAGGCGCACCGTCAGATACCGGTGAGTTACGTTTTGACTCAGGGGGAAACGCTGCCCCTAGACACAGTAAACACCTATCCTTTATAAAGCCACGAGGATGAAGCATTGTACTTAAACAGGGGGTATAAAGTAGGCTCAAACTAAAACCGTTCAACTTTTCTAATGACTCGTCGAAACTTTGGGAACAAAAAATATTTGTTAATAAGTGCTATGGATTCGTCATCTTCAGATACAAGGAAGTACAATTTCAGTAGATCGATACTTACAACAAAAACTACGTTGTAGGTTATCTAACATCCGCCGATCATAGATTTAGTCAACTTTACACAATCCGAACTCAGACCACGCCTGTCATGTTGTATCTCAAAATAAAGAGGATGTTCATGAAATCCTAGGTGTGGCTGTTTGACCAGAATTGTCCGTTAACCGTTCCGTTATTGTCCGGTTTGTGCAGCCGACAGTTTGCTGACCTTCCCGCCCAGCGTGCCCGAGGCGTCGCACGGTTCCCCCGCCCAGCCCACAGACCCCGGCTCCACCGTGTTCCCGCTCAGCTTCGTCAAGACCGAGTCTTCCAGCGACGACGGTATGCTTACCTGTTCAAATTTCAGAACAAGGAGATTGACTGGCCTCCTATGCAGATGTTTCTAGTGGCCTCATGATGTTTGTTGCCATGAGCGCGGTGGTTTCTTTTCCCTGGGACAACTGTATCGGGGGATAGCTGTATGTATTTGCCACTTGTCTGATTGAAACGAATGCAGGCCACTAGAAAAATCTGCGCAGGAGGCTGATGTTTTGACGTGTACGTGCTTCTTTTTTGTCTCCCTGCATCAACATATAACGCTAAGAACACAACAGAAGCAACTGATGCATGTCTGAATACTGTTAACCAAAATTGGCACCACCTGATTGTTGTTAACTAACGGAGGCGCTCCATTTGCAGTGTTGATAACCTTACGTTGTGTTCTCCACAGGAAGCGACAGTGATAACAACAGTGACATCAGTGATAACGTGCCTACAGACGAGGAGGTAGTCGAGGTAAAGACAAAAACTTTCTTTCCTTTGCTAAATCTCAATGCAGACGGTCTATTTTTCGTATGTCTTGCAGCGTGACAAAATCTGGCCCTAAAACTGTCAGAATGTGTTGAAGAATTATCATTAGACCCGAATTTGCACTTAATGAATGACATACGTTGGAAAACAAAAGTAAAACTAAAGTGGACTAAGACTAGTAATAGGTGGTCAGAAACTTGCTAGCCGGTATGAAACAACCAGACGGGGTCTAGTTCTGGGAACGAGACTGTTTCCATGGTAACCTCCATCCTAGAGTCGTTTCACTGGAACGAAACTCTGTGATTGTTCGCCTTCGTGGAAAAAGGTTTCTAACCGTGATCATGTGGTAAACACTTCAGGCCAGGGCTTCCAAGAAGGCCAAAGGAAGGGGGTACAATACAGACCGGTCTTAATAGCTTGTTTGAATGACATTAATGAAATGAAATGATCTTTATTGCATATCCTTGCCCAGACGGGCTAAATGCATACATGCTTTGTCACAGTATAAAATACATGTGGTGCATACATACATAATGTATGTTTGAGTTCTATACTAGGATTCTAAGTACTACATAATTCTTAAAGTTACTGTTTGTCTATTTTTTGGTTCTGGTTTCTTCTCTCTTCTTGAAACACTTATTGATATAATCACACACTTTTTCTACAATGTGTTCATTTCTGCTTGACATAAGATGTATAAATCTATTTTGCTTGGACAGTTTCTTATATTTCTTGTCTAAATCTAGTACATTAAATAACACCTTACGTTCATTTTCATATAAACTACAATCAAGTAAAAAGTGCGACTCGTTTTCTACATATAGATGATCACAGAATTCGCACGTCCTATCGTTCAGAGGGGTACGGTTGTGCCTACCGGATTCTATATGTAAGGGATGGTCACTTATACGAAGTTTGCACATGGTTTTTCGATGTTCGAAGTTTGTAATGTTTAAATATGTTTCTCTTTCATAGTTCAGTTTAAATGTTTTGTATGTTCTTAATTTGTTGCCTTGGTTTTCTCTTCGTCCTTCTGCTTGTAGTTCTGAGTAGAACTTTTGGATGTGGATATCTTTCAATCTCTGTTTTAGTTCTTTTAGATGGGAGGGTGTGTTTAAGTGACCGTTTAAATACAGGTAGGCAAAACCGGACTCCTCTAACAGTTTCTTTACATCAGATAACCAGCAGGGTATATTTCGGCGAACTAGCTCTTGTTGTACTGTATAGGCTTCATATTGTAGACTACTTGGGAGCACTTCGTTAACTAGTCTAAAATAGTAATTGTACATTCGGCAATGGGCCTCTATCTGTAAGGGGAAACGTCCTAGTTCCGCTCTACATGCGAAGTTACTGGCGTTCCTACGGACACCAAGAATGTATTTACAAAATTTCAGATGTACAGTTTCTAATGGCGATTTGTCGTTCAAACTGTTACTGCCCCAAACTTCGGAGCCATACAGTAATATCGGTACAACACATGTGTCAAACAGTTTACAGTGTAATGATACAGAGGATCTGGTTTCTCCGAGAGTACTTCTGATGTTAAACATTGCTCTTAGGGCCCTCTTTTGTAAATTTTTCATGGCAGTGCTAAATGTACATCCTGCTGTAAACACAACTCCTAGGTAGCAGTATGATTGAACTATCTCTATCTCTTTATCATCTAGTGAGAAACGAAGGTTAGAAAATAAGAGGCCTCTTTTGTTGAATATCATTACTTTAGTTTTTGCCAGGTTGATAGTTAACTTCCATTGTTTGCAGTACCGTCCAAGGGTGTTTATTGCTTTCTGTAATCCCTGCTCACTTTCCGATAATAAGACGATATCATCGGCATAAAAGAGGCTAGTAACTTTGGAATGTTCTAGTAGGGGTGCGTCTAGGTTTTCTGCGTTGAGTTTATCTATGAGATTACTGATGTATAGGTTGAATAGGGTTGGGCTTAAAACACATCCTTGGCGAACACCAATTTCAATGGGAAAACTTTAGTTAGGCCTTCTTTAGTTTTAACACTGGCCTCAGATTGGTTGTATAGGTTTTTAATTACATTGAAAAATTTGCCTGACATGTCATTGGAAAGAAGCTTGAATAAAAGTCCCTCGTGCCAAATGGAGTCAAAAGCTTTAGACAGGTCGACAAAACATGCGAATAATCGTTTTCCCGACTGTGTGTATTTGGAGATAAGGGTTTTTAATATGAAGATGTTATCTGCTGTCCTATAATTTTTTCGGAATCCGGTTTGGTTTGGTTTTGTGATTTCTTTTTCTTCGAGGAAGGTTGAAAGTCTTTTGTTTAAAATCGAGGAGAAAAGTTTTCCTAAGCAGCTGGAAATGGCTATTCCACGATAATTGTTTGGGTCGTCTTTTCGCCCTGTTTTGAAGATGGGGACGATGTAACTTCTCGACCACATTTTGGGGAAAATTCCTGATGAGAAGGTACTATTAAAAAGTCTTAAGAGAGGGGTTAATAGGATATGTTTTCCTGCTTTCAGCATTTCATTGGTGACCATGTCATCCCCGCTGGCTTTTTTGTTTTTGAGGGCGTGAATTGCATCTTTAATTTCAGAGGCAGTGATTGGTTGGTCCAAGGGTCCTGGACTTGGCTTATATTTTTGGAGTGCCTGAAGTTTGCGCAAAATTTCAATTTCAAAGTTATGATCAAAGTTTTCTTGTTTTAATCTGGATTTGCTGTGAATGTTTTTGAAGTGCTCGACCCAGGTGTCGGCTGGTAGATCTTCCTGTGATACTGGTTCGGTCTTTTTTAGTTCTTTGAGTAAATTCCAGAAGGCGGTGGGGTTGTTTTCTTGGAGGTTTTGTAGGCGCATCAGACAGTTATTTTCGTATTCTCGTTTGCGTTTTCGGATGAGTTTATTGAACTCCTTCTTTTTTCTAAAGTAACTTCCTCTTAGGGACGGATTTTTTGGGTTGTGCATAAGAAGGTATCTAAGATTTCGCAGTTCTTTCCTGGCCTCATAACATGATTTGTCGAACCATTTTTTGTTCTGTTTTGGTCCTTTGTGTCTTTTGTTATCTTTTACTTTTAATGATATCCTTCCGGCCATTTCTAGAATTTTCTGGAATTTACTGACTTCCTCATCAATGTAGTTACCTGTTGATGTGACATCTTGTCCAGGTGATAGGAAGTTATTTAATTTTTCTGATATCATCGGACTACATAAAGCCTGAATGAATTTTTCACTTGAATTTGAGTCCCAGATGAACCTGTTGGGAAGAGGGTTTAATTTACTTTTGCGCGTTTTCGTATCCTGAATGTGCCAGTGTGGCGTGTTTATATTTAAAGTTATCAAGCAGTGATCCGAAAACTCTGATAATTCGTGAACTTTGAATACATTAATGTTATGAAGAAGTGCGCTACTTGTAATGGCGTAATCCACCGTGCTACAGCCGTTAGGCTGGTAGCAGGTGTACTTTCCATTTAGATCGCCCAGGATGCGACCGTTTAGAATGCGCAGGTTTGAATGGGAACATAGTTGAATTAGGTTCTTACCAAAGGGGATTTTGGGGGGGTTCTGTCAGAATTAATTCTGGGGATATTTGGGTTAGAAAGGGGAATTTCTTCTTCAAAATCCGGGTCAAAGGGGTCCTCGGTGAGGTCTTGTAGAGAGCCTATCCTACTATTGAAATCTCCCCCTAAAATAATATAGCCTTTGGAGCTAAAAGTCGCTATATCCCTCTCCAGGGTATCAAAAATACAATCATCCGCCCTTTTGTGGACATTTGAGTATAAGGGACTTATATATACCGTACATATAAAAACATCTTTTGATAGTCCAAACAAGTCTTTTGATACTCGAACCCAGAGTAAGTCATCCGATGTAGAGTGTTCTCTTCTTATAAACTTTGTCAATTCTTTTCTGAAGTAAAAGATTATCCCACCAGAGTTTCTTCTTGCCCTTCTATGTTTTTTTCTTAAGGATGAAAAGTGATGGAAATTTGGAATGTCTATTTCTGAGGATTCGTTGCTCCAGGTTTTGAGAAGAGAGAAGAAATCTAGATTGTCTACGCTACTTCTAAAACTATCTTCCTTAAGTTTTTTCCCTAAGCCATGGATGTTCCAAAAACCTATGTTCAGCGAACACCTCATATTCTTAGCAATATCTCACAATTGGAACAAGAGGACATGTGTTCCTACTTTTACGACAAGAGTATTGTTGCATTTAAGCTAGTATATTAGCAGTAAGCTAAGCTTTGTTTTTTTTAACATAATACATAGTGCTAGACTAATAGTCATTGAGGACATTAAGTCGTTGCATACAAGTATGTTCTAACAACCTCGTAAGGATATACCGTCATGGGTTGATATGCTGCGTAGTCGTCTCTCTAGCGCCGGTGAGCTTCGCGGTGCTGGTAGAAGTCTCTCTCCCGCCGGTCAGCTTCACGGTGCTGGTAGTAGTTGTCTCTCTCGTCTCGGTGAGCTTCACGGTGCTGGTAGTAGTTGTCTCTCTCGTCTCGGTGAGCTTCACGGTGCTGGTAGTAGTTGTCTCTCTCGCCTCGGTGAGCTTCACGGTGCTGGTAGAAGTCTCTCTCCCGCCGGTCAGCTTCACGGTGTTGGTAGTAGTTGTCTCTCTCGCCCCGGTGAGCTTCACGGTGCTGGTGGTAGTTGTCTCTTTCCCGCCGGTCAGCTTCACGGTGTTGGCAGTAGTTGTCTCTCTCCCGCCGGTCAGCTCCATGGTGCTGATAGTAGTTTTCAATGTACCTGGGCGGACACACTGGGAACTGTCCAATGTAGTGGTCTTCATGTCCGCGGGCTGGCGGGGGCTGGAGGTCCATGGGCGGCTGTCGCCTTCCTGTGTACGGGGGACTCGCCGAGCCTCCTGTGTGTGGTGGAGTCGCTGGTCGCCCGTCATTGGTTTCTCTCTGGGGTCGATGGGGTGTTTGGATCTTTGTTCGAGGGTTCCTCTGCACTTCTGTCATGAAGACATGACCTTGGTCATCCGTGGGGCCTCTATTTGGGCACTCGCTTGGTGCTGTTTGACAAGGGTAGTGGCGGCCTCCCTCTGAGGGTCTTGCGCTGCTTCTCGTGTCGTTTCTACTCTTGCTGGTTCGCAGAGGGAACGAGGGTTGGTCTACCTCACGAGGATGGGCGCCACGTCTGTCTTGGCCGTTTCCGTGCTGGACTTCAGCGGCAGCTCTCCTTCCTCCTCTGTTGTAGGCCCCCATACCAACAGTGGGGTGGATAGCACTTTTCCAGTTGGCCGCCATCACTTTCAGTCCTGACTTGTTCAGGTGATAGCCGTCACGGTGGTACAGAGACGGTTTGATTGTCTTCCCGTCTCCGAGGTTGTCATTATTGACAACATGAACGAAAGGTAACTCTTGGCCGAGGACGTGTAGGAAACTGTTCACGTCTTGAGACACTGCCATTAGATGTTCGTCGTTCCTCGGGGGAATGGAGGAGATGACGACAGCTGTGTTGGGGTATTTGTCGTGTGTCGTCATGATCAGTTGCCTGATGTTCTCTGTCACGCCTTGTGCAGCTCTCTCCTGTCTGACATCGTTTGTTCCCACGTGGAGCACGATACATTTTGGGTCTTGGTGGGATGTCGACTTGATGAGGTCTGTTGCTTGTGGGACAGTCATTGCTGCATATTTATGGACTTGCTTGCTAGGGTATAGAATGTTGGGCATTATACCTCTCGTGTTTGAGTCACCCGCTATGATGATTTCTGGGTGTGCTGAGTTGACGCTGCGTTGGTGCTCATGTGTACGAACTTCCTGTGACGGGTTTCGGCTGGTATTGCGAAGGTTGATCGCTTCACGGTTGTTAGGAACGCGTTCTTCAGACTCATTCTCCGACAGAGCCTGGAACCTATTGTCGGTGGGAATGTTCGGCACGGTGACGGTGGGTTCGTCTCTGGTCGGGGTTCGAGAAGTCCCTTGTACCGGTTGTGGAACATCGGTTTGAATGGAAGCACTTTTCACACTCTTTGTTTCCAGTGCTGTGATTCTGTTGCGCAAGTTTTTGTTTTCAGCCTCGAGAGTTTTGACACGTTTCTTTAGCGCTTCCATGTCACATTCCTTTGCCACTTTCTCGGTAGGCGCTTCTTTTGTTTCGGCCAATTTGCATTCAATGCGCGAAAGGCGTTCCGACAACATGTCCATTTTGTTGTCATCGTTTGTGATTCTACTGACCAGAATTGCCTCAAGCTTGTCGATGTTTACCTGAAGTGACTGGAGCTCATTGTTGTTGTTGTTGTTAGTGTCTTTCGGCTTTTCTGTTTCTGCTGTGACAGAATCGGCAACTACAGACTTTGGGGTAGTTTCTTCTTCACGTGTAGAAATCTGTACCTGGTGTACCTCAGGCCCCTGGTGTACCCCTGCATTTTCACATGGATACTTGATGATGCATTCAGCACAAGTGAATTCACTTTCTTCGTCTTTGATCAGTTGCCGGAGGAAGAATTCGTGTAGGCCGGTACAGGAGTAGTGGAACCATTCCTGGCAGTTGTTACACTGGATAACGCCACTGTCTTCTGGCCCTGGACGGTCGCATTTGTGACACATGGTGTCTTCGCATCCAACTTCGTCGTCAAGGCATTTTGATAGCTGACTTTTTAGTTTCTTCAAAGGTATACAACACCCATAGGAAGCATGCTGAGCCTTGTACAAGTATCTTGCTTGTCTGGTATACATGTAAGGTTACTGAGCCGATCGGGTCTGCTTTGGTGGTATCATGATCAAAGAAAGGGACAGTCAGCTGATTGCCATTCCTACCCTTGTTGTCGGTAGAAGTGTTGTAGTGAGATTCGATGTTGTCTACCCAGTGTTCGTGCGATCCAGCCGGGATATGTATAGTGACGCTATTCTCATTGTACTGCACAAAGTAGTCATCGGTTGGCTTTGCCTTCTTGTCTCGCTTAGTCGGTTCAACGATTACATTTGAGTTGTCGTAATGCTGTCGACGATCTGCGTTTGAGAGGACGTAGAATGCTTTGCTCACCTCCGAAAAGTGCTGGCGGGCCTGTGTTAGCAGCCGCTTGTCCTTGTCCTTCGTCGTATTCAGGGCTTTGTCATACTTCTTCACTGCTTCCTTGTAGGCCGCCGTAATCTCAGCTTCAGTAGCGTCAGTCGTGATGCCTAGCAGTCCGTATAACTTGCCAGGAGAGCAGGAGCCGCGATCTTCTTTCGCCATTTTGTCCGCTTGGTTCCGACGGCTTGGGTCGGCTTGGTCTGGGTCCTTTGTTCTCGAGACGCGATTCTGTTGCTCAGTCCAAATTTAGGCTTTTTGGATCGTAGATAGAAATATTATGCCCCAAAGCACATACAATAAGGTAACAATGACGTTACTAATGGTTTGGGTACGTTTTAGATAGCACTTTTGTCGTAAAAGTAGGAAAATCCTCAATATCAGGTGGAGCGACTATACAGAGACGTCCGTCTCGCCGCCATCTTGGATTATAATGACAATCTAGAGCTCAAGTAACGACCCACCCTATCCCCTCAAGCCCTCCATTCCACACGGATTTTTGATACCCTAAATTCTTTTCTTTTTTTTATTGTACTGATTGACAGTTTTCACTTTTAATTTCTATTGTTGTATATTCAGGTGTGTTTTACCTTTGACATTATGGATCAATATTATGTATGTTCTGATATACAGTTTTTGGCAACAAGAAATCTGTCATTTTGATGCTCAGTATTTAATCTTTTATCTATTTTTCACTACAGGACGTACTAGGACTGGAAGAAACCCACAGCAACAGAGGCAACAGTCCCGCCCGCGATGCAAACGATCTGGAAGAGACTGTCTTTCCCAACTCCGAGTCCTTCCCAACCGCTTTCATGCAATCGCCGGGACAGTGGCCCTCTAGCGGAACCATTCCAAACTGCAGCACCCCTGGTTGGCTCGCGTCCAACTTCCAGAACACCGCGGCGTCCTGTGCGTCCTCCTCGGCCAGCGGCACCCCCAGCCCCGCCGTTGTCGTCCAGCCGGCCCGCTCGCTCGACCCACTGACTAACACCGACAGCTTGCTGCCAACGTTAGGCATCGACGAGTCAACCATGAAAGAAATAATGAGTATCCTCCTCAAAGCAAAAACGACCCCTCCCGGACAGACAGCGTACTCCACCACGCTGACGACAACCGCCAGGATGACATGGCAGAGCCCACAACATGCTGGGAACTATGGAGGACTGACAAACATGGACCAGGGGAACAACGCGCCAGCACAGACAGAACTGATGCAGACTTCGACCGCTTCTCCCATCCCAGTCCCACGGACCAACTATCTTTACACCACAGGTAACTTGCTACATCTAAGTCAATACTGTAGTTTAGATGTCTTCAAATTTTCCTCTTGCTTGTGGCATTACAAGTATGTACTTATCTAGCTAAATCATTAGTATCAAATTTGCATAGCCTTGCATGTGCAATTGAATTATGCACCATTTGCTACAATTGTCTTTTCATTGATGTACCTTTGTTAAGGACTTCAAGAGACATACATGCACATGTACTTTGTACTGCGTACTAAAATCAGTTTGTTTTCCATCTACATTATTTCGTCTTCATCATTCAGCATTTATATATTTCATATTTCAAAAGAAATAATCCAAAGACTTTTTTCCAGGTGGTTCAAACCCCATGGACCACTTCAATGGTGCCGTGCCGGTAACTTCAGCCCCTGCCCAGCCCCAGTCACTGCTACACAGTCTGGTCCAGGGCAGTCCCAAACTCATCACAACTACTACTGTTAGCGGGTGAGCACCCCTCAAAACCAAAATGGAACGAGCCACTTGTCTTCTACCCTTTGAAGAATAACAAAGCTTTGACAAGCCTCAAAGGTGGTGTCACCTATAGATGTTTTCTGTACACAATGTTTGTGAAGAGACTTAAAGTCGGTAAATAATCATATTAAATATGGCCAGTCATAAAATATAAGTTATATATACATGCTATTCATAATGGAGGTGTATGGGATATTTGTGTGCATTTTCTGCAAGAAATTGTTTCTGCTGAAAAGCATCTGTAGACTGTATTTGATACATGATAAACCAGTCAAAGAAGGTAACATACAAACATACATGTTGGTTGTATGTTTTTAACTACATATACTGTAGTTTAAAAAGTCCTGCTTGGTTCAATCACATGGTGAAGCTTTGAGTGGTGTTGACAATATATGCAAGTACAATTTATCTCAAATTGTATCATGTTGTTGGATTTTTAATGGCTTTTGTACATACATTGCTTTTGTTGATCAGCAGAACTGACTGTACCATATTCAGCTAAACAGTGCCTTATATCACTGTGTAGAAAATGTTCTAAACTACGGTGTAGCATGTACATAGACAGGATTGTGAGCTTTTTAAGTACTAGTAACTGGAATTGGTCCACATGATACATTTGTATACACCACTGCCAGAAGTTTTTCTAGTAGCTCTCAAATTTTAAGCTAAAGCATTATTAAAATGTTGACCAAGCTTGAATGTAAAATTTCTGATTGTTGCAAGATTTAGAATGTTGATTGTTGGTGATGAATTTTCGATTGAGTACAAACAGCAACATGCACTCCCAGAAAAAAGGATACTTTGCTAAATTTGGAATTCACACTTTTCTGTATGCATATAAGATTTCAGATTTAAACTACATGTATATACAACTGACACCCTTTACAACAAACACTATTGCATGTTCTTTGTAAATAGATTGATTTGTGAGAGAATTGGACAAAGTCCATTTATAACATGGAAGGAGGTTGGCTATTGTACATTTTCAATATCTTAAAGATTTCCACAATATGTGCTCACTATATTTCATGTAATATTACATTAAAACAAAACATTTTGAGTACGCACAGTACCAAGACAATGAAATATCAACTTGAATCCTGTATCTGTTCTATTTGGTGGAGCTTTATGTTTGTCATATACTCAGGACTTGTTCATGTCACTGTTATTTTTGAAAGCACAAAATAAAGTTATAACATTACATTTTCCCTGTGGCTCAATTCATGGACAAAGTGTATATCTTTTAGACAAGCAAGAACACTCAATATGTGAACGTTAGTCAAATATTTTCTCTTCAGCCAGGTAGACCTTCTCGGAGTACCTAGTGTTCAAGCAAAGTCCAACTGGACAAAAATCCTTCTACAAATGACATGTGAACTTTCTACAGTTTTAAATTTATTTAACTAACACTTAGTTTCTCAAATAGATACATGTGACCCTATCTAAACATATAGCTGTAATACCTGAGAATCTGGTACACTAAAAGACACACTTCTTCCATATCTCATGTGAAGTAACATCCTCAATGCCTAGATTACTCTGACTCTATCTTAAATAAGGGAATGCCAATTTTTTCCCTTTGCTCTTGGACATTCAAAAATTCTGCACAAGACCATGAAGACAGGTCTGTTAGGAAAAGCTGAGTCTGACCATACTCACTCCCTGAAACTGTGTGCACCAAGGCCTCAACTTGTAGTCCAAGAACTGCAAGGTGTGGCCTTAAAAAACATTTGTGACAAAACTGTTTATGTTCATTATTTACTTGGATGTTTGTCAGGTATATTATTACACAGGTAGCCAGTTGCTGCTGCGAAACTGGTGTGTTACGCCAAAGGGCCGTTATACTGGCTATACAGATACTTCTCTCTCACTGCTACATAAGTCGTATGTGATTCATGGACAACATGTGTGCAGGTTTGCTCCAGAGGTCTCTTATTTCCATGTACATGTATCTTGTTTTAAGGTCTGTCAAACAAGATATTTTTGTGGCCTTACATTCACACTCACATGTGAAAAGTTCCCAACTCTTTTGGTCATCCAACTGTGTGCACAGTTAATGATGACATCACCACTTTGTGTGGCTACTGCTACCCCTGTTTGCTCCAAATCCTCCACCTCTGCCCCTACCCCCTCCGTTAAACCTTCCCCCACCCCCTCTCCCCCTGCCCCCTCTTCTGTCTCCCCCCCTGCCAAAGCCCCCCCTGCCAAAGCCCCTTCCCCCTCTGCCTCCTCTGTCTGTCCTCTGCTCCAAGTCAGGCAGCTCTGTGGCCACTTCTAACCTGGAATCGTAAGAACCTTGGAACGTGTCCTGTGGAACAACAAATTCTGGGTTAGGAAAGATTTCCCATGAGTGGTAAATGGACTATTCATGGGGGATTTCAAAACTTTTTCAAAATACAACAGAAGGGGTATAGGATTTTTTTTCCAAGTTATTGTGGATAATTATGTAGATGTGCTGCAGAACGAGGCACAACACGTCTGTGCTCCGATCCAAGGCACAACCTTTTCTCTGGCTGTATGTTAAACCCCACTGTCATGGATCCACACAAGGAGGTCTGGGTGGGATAAACGAGATACAGCAACCAAATCTTATACAGAACTCAGTAAAATTAGATAAACATGTAGCAAACATAGTTGTCATGTAAGTGGAACAAATAAATTGAAAATCAGAACATTAAAATTGATGACAGCAGTCAGCATAAAAAGTACTGTACAATGGAGAATAAATATGTAGAATAAAGAGAGAATGGGAGATCAAGGTGTCCAAAGTTAGATAAAACCCAATAATAAAGGGGAGGAAAAGGTATGTAAAACAGGGTAGGGTAAGGAATGGAGGTGGATTTCTCCCTTAAACTATTGAATTCTTTTTTAAACAGCCAGGGATCACTAGTGGCTACCAGTATCACATGTAGTCCAACATCAATCGAACAGGACTCACCAAAAACTGGTCTTCCATGGAGGAAGGCACATCAAAAGCAACACCCTGTGAGAAAAAAGGAAAACAGCTGTGGTCATCGAATATTACCACAATGTGAGGTATGGACAAAGTTCTAATGCAACATTGACCAAACATCCAACAGAATACATAGTTTTGTGCAGGTGCAGTATGTTCAGTTTTTCACCTCTTACCTTGTTATTAGTAAACATGGTCATTCCCTTGACATTCTGGTCGATATCTTCGCCGAACCTCCGTTTTATTGCTGTCCAGAAGTAGCCCTTCCCGCGGACGGGACGGTCTGTGTGGAACAGCAGCGTTGTGTACCCCTGTACAACAAAACAACAACAAAGTGTTTATTCTCGATCAAAAGCTTTCCTTGGGCTGGTGCTAAACTCTTATTTTCACACAAAGTCTGAGAAGTACTATTACATAGACATGTGTGAACGAAAGAACCTAAGAAATAAGTAACCTAATAAGACAATCAACAGAAGTTAAACCAGGAAAATGTTTGGAAACAGCTGGAAAACCAAATGAAATTGAGGGCTCTTTTTCAATAGCAACACACACGAGCATTTAGGATATGATTTGAGCAACAAACATCCTTCAAAAAAGAATGCGAGAACAAAGTTCCTGAAGAAGTAATATCGCTGACAGACGTTACCTCATCTGCATTCAGCAGCGACCGTTTCTTGATCTCAGTGGAGCCTGACATGACGGCCAGCGCTGCGGCCACCGCGTTTACTGCTCCCTTCTCCGCTATCAGCTTCTCCGCAGCCTCCTGGAAATGAGTCAGCATCTTGTCTGGGACCTCCTCAATGGCCCTGGGAGGGAGACATGGTTTATTCACTTCTCAACAAATGACATAAACATACTTTAGTCAATCATAAGATCTTCATTGATACTTCATCAATTTCACTGTTTTAGTTGTCACTGTAAACCATTCATTAAGTCACCACAATGTATTTGTTATATCCATACTTTTTGCTGATAAACACTAGGGCTGATCATGACTTCATGAGTGGGTTTCTATATCCAAATTTAAAAACATATGCTTCTCCATTGTGTACAGTCAAACATGCCCAAGGGGCCACCTCTTTAAGCTGGCCATAATGTTCACCCTTTTCCGGTCCCAAATTGTTTCCCATACGTGCAAGCATTAAGTGACCTGCCCAAGAAGACCACTTTATGATGACCACTTGACCTCAGTCCCCTGGGTGGCCTTCGTGGACAAGTTTGACTATATTTTTACTATAATAAGTCTATTCTCACCTTGCAGAGTCATTGGCTGCTGCCTTGACGATGTCGTCCGGCTGCGGAGCGTTGATCTGTCGGAACTTGATCCCGGCCCGTCTCTCCACGTAGCGCAGGTCCTGTTCCCTGTTGGGTTTGTAGAAACAGACACAGACGCCGGTCCGTCCAGCGCGGCCGGTACGACCAGACCTGTGGATGTACGAGTCCACGTCCTGGGGAAAACACCAGGAAACATGCGTAAATAATTTCATCAAGAGACTGTATACGAAGGTTCTTTATTATAATTTTTCGTTGGATGTTTAGGCAATGTTGCATCAGAATTTTGCCCTTTGCAGACGATCTCTTTTCCGACACAATATTTGAAAACTATAGATGGTATGTCATCCTTATACATTGTATGACCTTAAACAGAGACAATATACACAAAACATCACAGGGTTTATCAAAGGCGCAGTACGCTCCGCCAATTTGCTCTTTATCACTGAAGAAGTCTTTATGCACCATTCTGACTAAAAACACACCACAGCCAACCATCCTTGTATACTAGTCACTCACCGAGGGCGGTTCACACTGTACCACCAGGTCCACTTCAGGAATGTCCAGTCCCCGCGCTGCCACATCTGTAGCTACCAGAACCTGGATGTTTCCATCTCGGAAACTCTGCAATAAGATATGCCACTGGTCATTATGGGACTAGACAAAAAGAGCTGAAAGCCCAAAACATCATATCTGAGAATACATTTTCTACGTAAACTTACAATGTGACATAAAGCTAGCAATCGGATTGGTGGACAGGCATTATATGAGGATATATGTAAAGCTAAAATCATGGCATCGTAGCAAAATATAGGACTAACATGGCTATGAGGATATGTAAGTCTAAAATCGTAGCATCATAACAACATGCAACAAAGTAACACTAAAAAAAACATGGTTGCCATGACCTCTGACCTTGAGTGTGAGCTCCCTCTGTGCCTGAGGGATGTCCCCATGTAGGACCTGGGCCTCCTGTTTCAGGGCCCCCTCTAGGACCAATTGGTTGGCTTCCTTCTTGGTCTCACAGAACACCATGGCCCTGCCGTGCTGACCGCTGTACATCGTGACAATGTCCGCTATCACAGGGGCACGAGCCTGCCAGCCGCACCGGATAGCAAGATGCTGGACGGAAAAAAACATGGCGAATCGTTGAAAAATGTTCAGTGTTGTAAATTGGCTATCATACATAATTAGTTAAGATTATATGCTACAAGTCTATAAGCCCCAGAAATATTACGTCACCGGAGGTTACTATTAAATTTACCGAATCTTTCCATACATAAGCTTATCAAAGAGAAGAACTCCAGTACCAACATAAGTACAATGGCATTGCAGTACCATACCTCGACTGTGGTGGCGCTTCTGTTCTGCTCAGTGCCAATCATATCCACATGCTTGGGCTCTGCCTTCATGTACTTGGTGGCGGCCTCGTGCACCCAGTTTGGCAGCGTGGCCGAGAAAAACAGCGTCTGTGGGTTCTGTGACTTGTCCTCTGGAAAATAGCAACAGCAAAGGTTGTGATAAAAAACAAAGGACGTCAGAAACAGCAATATGGTGAGGAACAGGTCTTACAAACAAGAATGCAAATACACAAGACATTCACCTCAAAATTCATACATAATATTTACTACAGTGTACAAGGGATTTGTCATTGTAAGGCCACATCTAATCATCCCCTAACAAATAACATTAACTTGCTTTAGATTGGCAGCACAATCCTCTGAAAGTATAAAGGGTTCGGTAAAGAGCATTTCCTCAACTTTTCTTCAGAAGAGGGAGCTCAATGTCATCATAGGATTGAGGTAGGTGTTCCCTTAAAGCAATAGTAAATAAGATTTTCACTGTTTCAAACATCATTGTTTTACACAGTTTCTTGCGCTATAAGCCTACCTGGGTTCATAATGACATTTGGGGAGTAAAAGATCAACATCGTTGCACCGCAAAAACACGCCGGAAGCTGCTGAAGATACCCGAACGAAAGCCGCTGTTTGTTTACATTATCTTTAGGAGCCCTCCTAAAAATACAGCAGGCCTAGCAAAACTTTTTCTCGCACTGCGCTTGCCGAGTTGCCGGAAAAGCGAAATAGTAGCGCTGATATGTTGAAAGTTAATGAAAACGACAATCTAGATGAGAAAATTTCAATTGTTTACATTTACAGTATTAGCGCAAAAATCTTCCATAACATCGCCTTAAAAATATAACGAGAAGCTACCTTTCTTGTACGCGGCTTCCAAAATTTCGTCCACTTGTTCCACCATGCCCATCTCCAACATGCGGTCAACCTCGTCCAACACGACATGGCGCAGCTCCGACAGGTTCAGCCGCCCGCTCCTGACATGGTCCTGGATACGTCCAGGCGTGCCCACCAGGATGTCCAGACCCCTGTTGATGGCATCATCTGTATGAGAGAGAGGTGAAAATTGTTGTTGCATGCAGGTATTGGCGCCATCTAGGAGAACCTTTCAGTACTGCAATTCCAGATTGTGTACATAATGTTTAAACATAATGGAGTTTTGCCCATTTAAAGAAATCCTGTTGCTAATGACAAAGTTAAAACCATCCCATCATCTTGACAGATACATTTTATATATCAGGAGACTAGGATTCAGGAAGGGGGACCAGACTGTCCCTGTACTATGAAAACCAGCTCAAATCCATGAGCTACTTTTTAGAATGGTCACTACTACTACTACTTCACTTTGTCCTGAGAGTGAAACTTTGCACATTTAAGATGTGGCTACTACTAAAACTATGTAGATGTGCTGCAGAACGAGGCACAACACAGTCTGTGCTCCGATCCAAGGCACAACATTTTCTCTGGCTGTATGTTAAACCCCACTGTCATGGATCCACACAAGGCAGTCTGGGTGGGATAAACGAGATACAGCAACTTATCTTGTACAGAACTCAATAAAATTACATAAGTAACTTAAAAATATATAAGCATAATTGACAGTCAAGTGAGTCAAAAAATAATTGGAAGATTCAAGACGAAAACCAAAATTGCTTAAAGAAATTATCACAATATGAGGAAAAATGGGAAATCATATGTTCAAATATGGCTATAGCTCAACCATTGGGTGATAAAAATGGTATGACTAAAAGGCAGGGTATGGAATGGAGGTGGATTTTTCCCTTGGTCAGACTAGTGAATTTTTCTAAACAACTACACTGTTTGAGAGCACAAAACGTCTTAAATTTTTATCTTCATACTCAGTTCTTGGTATTCATTTCTCACACACACTTCTGTTTCAGGTAAAAAGGACAGAATTTTCATTGCCGTACTCTGTGGAGGATAGGGTGTCCCTCCATACACACAGAATGAGGTCAGTTTGGTGCTGATACTCTTGAAGTCTTCATAAACCTGGAACAAACAGATGCAAGTTGTTTAAAACATCATCAAAGAACAGCACCCATTGTTGATTAAATGCATAGAAATTATGATCTAAAAGCATGGTTTAATTTAAATGCCCCCCACTAAAAATGTGACAAAATCTAAGTGCTCTATCAGTTTCTTTGAAAACCTGATAGAGCACCTAAATTGACAAACATAAGACAAACAAGAAGTGCTACATTCTGTCCATACCTGAATGGCCAGTTCCCTGGTGGGAGCGAGCACGATGACCGATGGTGCCCTGCCCCGCTTGGTGGACACTCCTTCCTTCTGTAGCCGCTCCACCAGTGGGATGCTGAAGGCCAGCTACATAGGAAAACCAATCAGAGATTTCACGCCCACTGGCATACAGGAACTGCACTGCTCCCTCTGGCAGAGCATACTCAGTGGACTGCCCCCCAAAAAATTATGTTTTGGGGGGGTGACAATTTCTACCTGTAAAACCGCATGTAAAATGCCTTTTTTGCACAGCGCGCTGCCTTTCAAATCTAAAATAGATACATACACAACGCACACACGCAATGAAACACACACACACATCAGACAATTGGAACCTAGTGCTTCACTCCTTCAGAAAACTTCATATAGTGTCAACATATCACATATTGTATGAAAGAAACAAGCTTACCGTCTTCCCAGTCCCAGTTCTTGCCTGAGTGATGACATCCCAGCCGTCGTACACAAAGTCAAAGGTCTTGTACTGAACTGGGAACAGCTTCACCACATTACGGGCTGGAAAAAATCACTAGCATGTTAATAAAGGTCATTTAAATGAACTACTAGTACCCAAGGACACTGTTAGCTGCACTAACCAGTTCTTAGTAAGTTTCTAAAATCATTGTCATATTAATAACAACTAGATGTATATATAAACTACCTATTACAATCTTTTTTTCTCAAATGTATATAACCTGATATAAACAGACTATTAGTAGTATTACTGTACAGACCTTTCAGTTTTGCAACTGTCTGTGCTGTGATACGGAAGTTCTCAAAGTCTCCCTCCTCTCTTGTGATGGCCCCGTTTTCATTGGCACCATTTTCATCTGCACACTTGGGAAAAAAACAGGCGACTTAATATAGCAGACTGCTAAACCTTGATCCTCAAATGATCAAAATTGAAAAAAAAATGTAGTGCAAGTAGGTGCTAAATCTTTTGATGTGCTTATAAACCTTACATTTAAAATAAATAGCAATTATTGCACAAAGCATTAACATATTCTTTACCTCCCCATCCGAAACAGAAGTACCATTCTCTGCATCGTCATTTTCTTCTTTTATCTTAATCTTCTTTTCTTTGTTCTTCTTCTGTTTCTTGGGCGTGTTGTCCTCGGCTTTGGTCTTCTTTTTCTTCTTCTTCTCTGGTTCTTCTGGTTCACTTTTCACAGCTTTGGGTGCCTCTGTCTCTAATTTTCTCTTCTTACTTTTCTTGTCTTTCTTCGCCTTCTCTGGCTGTGAACAAGTAATATGTAGACACATGTCAATCATGTTGGCTGTCTTTCTCAGCCCCGCCCATCCACAAAATACACAAGTAATTTGCATCAGGTGGGCAACGTACAATCCTCAGTAAGTATAAAGGGTTCGGTTAAGAGCATTTCCTCAACTTTTCTTTAGAAGAGGGAGCTCAATGTCATCATAGGATTGTCATGATAGTAGGTATTTTAATTCATAATTTACGAATATGATTAAAGTAGCTTTTGACTTTGCTTATATTTTTCCACCAGCCTGCAGTCTCTGTCCAGAACAACCAGCTTCAGAAAAACAGAAGTACATTTGGAAAATATATTTTTGTAACTAATAGTACACAGACTCAGAGCTAACTGTTAAATGACCTAAACTTTATAGACTTTCAGTACCAAAAAGAGCTGGGCGAACCGACCGACCACGTGTCACAAAATAAAATTCACTAAAACTTGAACATACGTGTAAAACTAGGCCTTTTGACAACTATGAGCATAGAGGAACAACAAAAACGCCAGCTCTCGCTTAATATCTAACTTAAAACGTTATATCAAGGAAGTTTAAACCTCCTTGGTTATATAATAAATTTTCCAGATGCAAAGCTAAACTTGTCCCAACTTCTATAAAGAAATATTCTCACCGTTCCGTCGATTTTCTCCTCACAAACCGACTCTTCTGACACCTCCATGTGAACTGTTTTCTTGGTCGTCTTTTTAACAACTTGTGCCGGCATTTTGACCGGCAATATTGCAGTAAAACGTAAAGAAAAACGAAAGATTTTTCTCCGAAGTTTCCACGTGGTGATGAAATGTCCGGCTCACCTTTGACCCAACGCGCTAAGCATGCTGGGAGAAGCTAAAGTTGAAAGTTCAACGGTTAATTTTTCCATGTTTGGGCATGCGCACTAAAACAAGTGCCCAAGGCCATAGGGAAGTCACAAAAACAACTTTTCTTTATAATTTTGCAAATTTAGGTTCGGCTGCAGACTGTCAGGAATGAGACGCGTATCGTGGTATGGCTGAAAGCAACGAAATTTCCTGTAAAAATCAACTTGACGTCGAACGAACGAGAAAAACCCCGGAGAAGAGCGGAGCACGAGAAGGGGTGTGCACGCCTCCCCTCCCCCGCCGCTGCCGCCCGCTAGCACATCAAGTCGCCGGGCACCGATATGGACAGGGCAAAACCAAGAAAGGTCAGGATTTTCGCAACAAAACCGACATATATGAAATAAGCAAGCACTGCTAACCGTTATATTCTGGTAGATCACCAAGGGACTGTATAACATGATTTGGGATTTTTCCACACCAACATCTGCTTGGAGAGAAGAAGCTGCTTTGGTTTTTTTGGCTTGTGTGTTTGTCAGTCTGTGTGTGCATGTCTGTGTCAGTGTGTGTAAATATACACAGTGCAATCTTGCAATGCATGTTTTGAGACACAACGCAGTATTGGTAAGGTGGCAAATCTGCCATTTCTGATAGCGTTCCTAGTGTAAGTAGTTAAGATTACTAGTATTTTGTGGTGTGAAATCCATATTTTGGAACATCGTTGTCAATTTCACTGCACGCAGTTGATAAGTCACATTTATGGATGGCAGTTACTTTGCCATCACAGCATTTCACAACGAGCATCATTGAGGATTCTTTTCTGAAAATTCGCATGCGTTTTTCCAGGTATGTTACAGCATGAAGACGGGACGTTACTGAAGCCCCTACAGCCGCCACCACGTGGCCAGAAGGAACTCGGGTTTTACCAGAAGATTTTTGACGAGAACACAACGAATCAGGACCTGCTGACTTTAAGACTTTTCATGCCAAAGTACCTGGGGAAGTTTGTTCCTGAGGATGACCCTTCACGTATCCTTCCCAAACCTCCCTATTCATAAGTATCTAGTTCTAGTTCTATATAATACTGGGCAAAGCCCTATCTAGGGCATCCCGTCCTAGCCTGGTTACCAAACCTATTATAGCTCCCGAGTCCTACATCCTCTCCGCAAATAGATGGATGTAGGACTCGGGAGCTATAATAGGTTTGGTAACCAGGCTAGTGCGGTGAGGAAAATGTGCATGAAAATCTAGTTGTAGCACATACTGCACCTGCACAAAACCTGTATATAGCACTTTGGCACTTTTGTTAAGTCCTCAAGCCACTGTCATCAGCATATTGCTACCCTTTGGAAGCTTTATTGAGGCGCGTACTCTACCTTAAACATTAACACCATACCATACTTAACCTTAACCTTCCCCAGAGGTTTTTATCAAGCTGGAAGACATCACCAGAAAGTTCCACCAACCCTGCATTCTAGATGTCAAGGTGAGTTGTTTTTACTAAGTCTAGGCCATCAGTTATGTTGATATTTTGTTGGCCCCATTTTGTGTCCATTGTTATGTTGTGTCCTCTGAAGACTGACCTGTGACAAATTTATGATGAAATTGACAGTTACTGATAAATATGAACCGAAAGCTCAGTCACCCATGAAGGACCCCTGTATCTATCAGGTGGGGAGACGCTGCTACGATCTGGAGGCCACTCCAGACAAGATTGAACGAGAGAAGAAGAAGTACCCCCCTATCGACATTGTGGGGTTCCAACTCATGGGAATGAGGGTAGGTACTGTCTCAAACTTTTAAGAAATCCCATTAATTATTCTTTACAAATACAGTATCTTACATTAAGTATAATTGACCCTCTAATTTTTTCCTGCCCTAGCTGTCTGAATGTGCAATGACCAAATTATGCTCTTTACTTTACATGGTTGGGCAAAGAGCTCTGTCACTCCAAAATCTTGATACAGTAGAAGCAAGGAAATGTACCAAGCACAAGGAAAGAATCACCCTCAAACCATTCATATAATGAGAACTGTTGATTTCTCTTCCAGATCTATAAGAGGAAAACAGGAGAAGTGGTGTACTACGACAAGAAATATGGGAGGAGCCTGGATGAAAACCATGTCGGCATGGGTGAGAGAACTGTTTTGTTATCCATAAAGTAAAGAATTGTAAAGTTCTGTGTATGTTTGTATAATTGAATTAATGGATTTGTTGACAACCAACCACATAAATATTAAACTATGAAAATGAGCCTTTTGAAATCTGATTTCTGCATCTTTAGAGAAGGAACAAGTTGATTTCACAGGAGACAATCTTACAATAATGCTAATTTCTAAGTACCATTGTACCATTTCTTTGGTCCACCAGGTCTGACTAAGTACCTGACCATGGATGGAACCTGCCAACTACAAGTCGGAGTGCTGCAGGCCATCTTGTGTCAGCTGGAGAAAATCAAACGGTTCATCAAGACACAGTCTCAGATCTGCCTCTTCTCCAGCTCCCTCCTCATTGTTTACGAGGGGGAGCCCGAAAACTCCACGGAGAAATCCAACTCCGCAGAGCACAGTGCAGAGTACTCTACAGAAAACACAGTCACTATAGCAAGTGGTGACATATCTTTTGATCAAATTCACCACTTGTCACATTCCAAGGGAGATAAAAATGGAGCAGGGCAAGAGGGTTTGAGAGAAAGCGTTTCAGACCCAAAATTGCGGCAAGTCCCATTCCAGAATGACTACAGATCAACACAAAAGGCAGTCAAAGAGAAAAATGTAAACGGACCACACACACAAGTGTCTGGGGTAGAGGGAATGGGCAAGACAGAGTCAACTGAACAGGCTATCACAGGTCACTCAGGTTCACCAAGAGACAGGGATGCTGATAGGTTACCGGAGGTAGAAGATGGGTTATCCTGTCCAACCAGGGACATTGATACAGACTGTATAGCTCAAGCTAAGATAGATGTAAGAATGATTGACTTTGCCCATGTGTTTCCCTCTGATCACATTGATGAGAACTACTTGTATGGGATAAAGAACTTAATAAGCTATCTAGAAAAGATAGGTATATGATCAAGACAAAAAGAATGGACTATTTTACAAAGAAAAGTTCTCAAACTATTGTAACATTCCCCTACAAGGGATAATGGGTGAATATTTTTATTGGCAAAAGTCTGGGAAATTATCATCAAAATTAATTATAATCAAATACGTCTATTGGGTAGATAGTTACTTATTATTTTAGGTGAATATTTTGTATAAAATATTGTCAAAAGCAGTCCGTCTTGCCAGGTTTTATTTCTCATGTTGCTTATGCATTTGTACTATCAAAAACCGTGATGCACGTATGTTGTTGAAAAGAGACAAGATATATGTAAGATTCAAAACATTAGGGCAAGTAGGGCAAATTACATGTCCTTTTCATTAAAATTCTGTTATTTTGTTATTATCGTTGATAGGGGTTCATATTAGTTTTGTGATTATTTTGTGTTTCAGTTTTATTGTTACATACGTGTGCCACTTATTTTTGCATGCCGTGGTTTTCTTTTGTATGGTATGTTTTGAAAGCCAAATAAAGATAATTGAAAAAAAAAACAGATTCAATTGCATAACTGGTAAACAACATTGAGGCATAATACAGCAGTTTTGCAGTATTTTTTTTTACTTTTTTTTGTACTGGTTGGGTTTCTCAACTGTTGATATGGACATACCTCTTCTCCTATTGATACATTGGTATGTAAAATACATCTGTAATACTAGTAGCCAGTCTGAAGAATGTGTACATGCTATACTAGTACAAGGTACTATCATGTACAGCTAATGAAGTAAAAGCACCATAAACGTGCCATACCACGTTTTCTTGCTTATGCTTATGGCAATATCCCTAAAAATGCCTCTCCTATTAGGTCAGTTAGTCCTCTCCATGACTCAAGCTTGTCTCAAGCATTGATGTTTTTGACTTAGCTAGGGAGAAGAGATGCTGTTCCAGTAACACAAATTTAATTCCAGCGGTCTTTTGGCCTTGCACTGAGCAAAATCGTTTTAAAAATGCATGAAAGTCAATGTTCGGAACATGTAGATCAGATGTTTCGACTTCTCAAATGATAGTCCTTCCATGGAAATTGTCTATTTTAGCAAAAAGCCATGAAGAGGGTTAGCTATTACAGATGGATATCAATGGTCTATTTTCAATGTTGTCCTAAACATTTGTAACAGTAGTAGCAGTAGTCCTGTATGCCATATTTTAATGGTGTGGTCTTCGCCTAGTCTGGTATCCAGACATCGGTTTGGTCCATCAAACTCACCTAAGACTGACATTACAGCTCCTGTTGTGGTCTTCTAGTTACGTCTTGTGCCAAGACTATTGTATTAGTGAATTGTATCATATTTAGAGATACGTGTAGTGTGTACTATCAGTACACCAGTTGACAGAATGGATATTGTGCATAGGTTTTGATGATGGAATCATGGCATTATTGAGTATGAGGCCAAAGAAAAATGAACATTTTTTTTTCTTAATGTTAAAGGTATACAATGATGTTACTGTATACACTACTCTGGGAACAAGACCTGAATCGTACCTCTCATATGTTCCTCTTGTGTTCTTACTGCCTCAGTGTTGTTCAGAATATGATTTTTCAAGCCTTCTTGTAGATCTACAGAAACAACATAGCTGAAAATTTTTGAAAAATGACAACAATAATATTCACTTTTATACAACCAAGACCAGCAAAAAGATATTATTTTCGTGTATTGAGCAAAAAAAGTGTCTACAAAGAATAACTATTAGTACTAGTATTATACATGCATACAGAACATGGGACGGTTACTTAAGGGATCTTGATATTTTTCGCCTTTATGTTGCTTTGATGACAAAGAGCTGTGAAAGATTGCGCTTATTGTAAAAGTTCGTCCGACGACGCCAAAGTCTATTCCGGATCCTAGCGACTTGGAAGTGAAGTGCAGCAGTCTGGACAACACTTGCTACTAGATCCCAATCGCCAATGTTTCAAAGATTTACCATTTTGTGTGTAAAATTAGTATTACTATTAACGTTAACGATACTAACATGGGGCGTTAGAATGTAGCATATGTTAGTCTGAACGTACAACAACAACATGACCATGCACAAATGCCATGTCTATATCGTTATGCGGGTGTGGTTAGAATGTAGGGAACCGGGTGAGTGAGAAGAAGCATACCTTGAATTCTGGGCGGTTTGTTATCAGATCGTTTCTGATCCCCCTCCCCACCCAAAACGTCCCAAAAGCCGATAATACGGGACATTGCGGCTTTAGCAGATCATCATATCACCATGTTAACCTGGCTGGCATAGCTGTTCCGATCCAAACTTATAGTTATGTTCTACCAGACTCACTGAGTTGCTGGAAAATCGTACAAAAAATGCGAAATATGGAGGAAAGTTTGCCAGAGGAATTTACAGTCGGCCAATGAGTTCTATCACATGCTGTCATGATTTGGCCAATTTTTTTGCAGTGACCTATATTATAAAGGAGTCTGGTAGAGACTATCCCAATTCCCTCTAACGGTTACTTTATCGATATAAATAATAATTTGCAAGTATTTAGCCCACGGAGCCAGTCGCAGTGGAAAGCTAGATTGGTGCAGACCATGTAACCTCCAAGCAGATGTTGGGGGAGGCTAAGTTGTTACGTTTTCCTTAAATTCCTGTCAAACTACGTACTTCATGGAGGAGGCAGCTAGGAAAACGGTCTAGTAACGATCTAGCCCGCCCCAACATCTGCTTGGAGATTACAAACCATGCAAATATAATCCAGCTCTAAGAACGACTGTCCACCCTCTCCTCATAATTAGCGGATCACCCCCTAGCGGCCTAACCAGAAAAAAAGGTGAAGCGTTCGCGTCAAATGAAAACACGGCTTTTATAGTAGTCGCTACCGACTCTGTGTGCCAACAAATGGAAGTTTCGATTGCCTGTTACAGTTGGGCACATGAACTTCCTGGCCTATAAACATAGAGATTTGTCACACGGGAAACTCTAGATAATCAATCTGATAATGGAGTCTAAGTTTAACTCAAACTCACTCACTAGTACTACTCTCGAGTCATTCTATTACATAGTCGTTCAAATAATGGGGTGTACACTGTACATAGTGTAATTTTTTGGTGTTGCCAATGTCGCCAAACTTTTTGCCGGACCCTAGAAGACGTCCTGCCCGCCTGTCCCTGGCCCTCCTGCCCGACCGTTGTACCCCCGCCCCCGGACTTTCATTCAGCTAACTGAACTGTCAACTGCTTTGTGTGCAGAGCCATCGAAAACAAACACATTCAGTGAGAAAACATGCTGGGCTCTTTAAAATCCAGCCTGTAACGTAGTTGTAGGGGTTGGGTTTGGGTTGTCCGATATGTTAACCCTTTTCGGACATTTCTGCGGTAGCATTGGGAAAATAACAACTACGGAAAGATCGGGGCACACCTCTTGGTACTTTTAACCTTCACGATGTGGAACAAGAGTCCTCTGGAATTTTTATATGATTTTTTGTTTCCAATTTTTATTGAGGGGGGAGCGGCATTCTTGAAGGCTATCTCGTGTCAGGAGCGGAGCTTTCCGATTGGTGGTGCGCTTTTGTGAATGACTTTATTTATTATGCAGGACGACGCAAGCGACCGGTCGTCCAACCACATGAGAGGAATATCTTTGTTGCTCGGACACAAGTCGTCCTGCTATGGAGCCTCGTGGTGAAGAATATATCCCCCTGACAAAAATATATTTTCTGGCCAACCTTTAGTACACACTCCAACAACAACAACAAGAACGTACGAGACGCTCCCAGGGTCCCCGTGTCTGGTCTCACTTGAAACCGTGCCAAGATGATGTCTGGCTCCGTGGACGACCCCGTCTGCATTCCCCGGCCCAAACGTGTGAGGTCCTCGGACTCCCTACGGCTTCGTCCCGAGACCTCCGCCACTGCCAGCCCGCTCAGTCCCAAACGGTGTCTCGAGCTCGACGGAGTGATCGACGTGCTCCGAGCTTACGACTCTTACGAAGGAGGCGTGAACTGCTCGATCTGTGGTGAGTGTGGTTTCCTGTAGGGACTAGTGGCTTGCGGCATTATTAAAGCACACCGCATACTTCAGTAACAATAGAGCTCGGTTGTTTTTCACAAAAGCTACTCTCGGTACGCCACAAAAAATTTCTCCTAACAGGGCTTCCCCGAACTTTCACGAAACGACACCTGGTGTATTTTATGTCGCTTGTCTTCGTCTACCATCATACGGATTTTCGTGCGCGAACGCCTTTTCTTACTATTTTTTCTCGATTTTTTAAATATTTTTCTAGGCGAAAAATAACGCGAGCCACACATGGCCATTGAATATGTAACAGATAGCTTGTTTGCGTACGTGGCTGAATGACCCCTGTGCTCGTAATTATGCCAACTTTTCCCGCCAAAATTCCTGGCGGTACCTTACCGGGCCCTGAAAGAGCGCTTGTATCGGATCAAAATTTTATCGTGCTTTTCTCTAAGTTTGAGTAAAACGATTTTGAAAAATTTAAACTTTTCTAAATCTGCTGTGTCGCCTGGTATGCGTTCTCGTCTTCTGTGGAAACCAGTCGCACGGCTGCGTGTAATGATGTCTGCATTTGCAACCACGTACGCACACACACATACACACACGCGCACGCACAAGCACACGTGCACAAGCACACACGCACATGGGTACAAATATTATAATCTCGCGAAAAGAATCATCATTAAAATCATAACTCTAAACAACACATGTTCTTATGCTTGTCATTATTTCTGCATATTGAGTTTCATTCGGCTACTTCTGTTCTACTTTATGACAATTTTTATTGCAAACGCTTCGGTTACTTTGACTTTTGTCGATCTATTGTTTTGTTGTGCCTTCTGTCATCAAGATGGCTGAACAATTTCTATTTTGAGGCAACGCCAAGCCAATTACATACGTACGTGCGACAAGTTAATTGTGCGCAAATTATTCGCCAGGTATTTTCGTAACCTTTTGTCGTCTGCGTTTTTCAATTACTTGACGGGTGGGTTCAAATTCTATTCTGACAACCCTCAAAAGTTTTAGTTGTGTCTATGTTATAATTTTAGATAATTTTTTTATCATCGTTGTTTCTTTGTTCATTTTTAGATATAGATAGAGAAGTTATCATTTAGATTTTCATTGAGGGCTGCAATTCTGTACATGGCTAAGCGTTAACCAATGTGAAATACAATATTAGCCAAACAAACTTTTTAACTGTTGGATTGTGGCCAGGTGATATTTGTTCTTCTATTTCTGCGCGAATAAACTTTATCCCTCTTATGTTAACCTTGGGTGAGACAATGACCCCACGACCCTTCCTTCCGTCCAAATAGCTGTCGGCAAAATGTCTGAGCGAAGAATCAGAATAGTGTATCACAGTCTGTATGTTGAGTAGTATTCTATTATTGCTAATGTGGTTAATGCGTTAAAATTCTAACAATAAGATAAAAACGCTGCATTATTTTCATGTCAAGTCATTTATCATGTCAAGTCATTTCTATCATGTCGTAAGACTTAAACTTCATTTTTGACACTTGATCCGCATCTTTATTACAATGTATCCATCCCATTAGTGATAGAAAAGTATAACGCATCGCGGACGAAAAAATTATGATTTTGGCCAATCCTGACACGAGAGAGGGCGGGTAACATGTCACGTGTGACTCATGTATCCCTCCGCCCCCTTGACCCGACACCGCCCAGGCTTCACAAAAAACATCCCTTGTAAAAATTTCTCACATTTCTCCGGTACATGATGTTGTGAATAGCGGCGTGCCCGGGGGTCCCGACCCTGGCCTACAGGGGCAGGAGTTCACGGTGTTTCCGATTTGTGCGGACCGTAGAGACCAACTTATTAATCATTCAGAGCCTTGTACAAAAAGGACAACCTGACAAGCGTGTAATCATATTTTTTCGTCGGTGTATCATTTTCAGCAATCGCTCTTTCCTAGTATTTCCACTACCTGAGAGAAGTGATGCGCATGCAATACGCGTGCAAGCCTTTCTTTTTCTTCTAAGTTCTAATACAAATGTAGTACTTTTGTTAATTTCTTGTCACACGATTTTCAGGTAAGTGTGTCTGTCCCTTCACATGAATTTTCCATCGCCAATCCTTTTAGCCACTGTTATTTCCTCCTACGCTTTCTTTCAATGAGAAATATTGGCAACGCTTCTTGTCCATGACTCACCAAGAAGAAAGCAGAATTCCTGGTGACCAATTTCGCGTGCATTTCACGCTATCCTGTAGTTTTTATGTTTCCAGTTACAGTGAAGCGGAAGAAATTGTAAACTGAACAAAATACGAGCCATTACACACGCTATACAGGTGTAACAATAGCTTTGCTCTCTATTATTAAAGTTGGCAAAGTGATGGAAAAAACACTCCAGACATCGAGGCAAAGCGGGGGAAAGTAATAAATAAACATCACTTTTCCTGCGATAATACACTAATGCGACAAAAATCTTTCCGAAAATGTCAGCCTCCCCACGCAAGAAGAGGGGATGAGGGACGATATAAACAAGGGGTTCATCCGTTGACTATGTGGGGTGGGGATGTGTCAAGCGTCAATGTGATCTTAGTCTATGGCCATAGGAAGGACAAACGTAGCAGAGGGCTTTTTTTCTGACTTGCTTTTAGGTATACAGGCTTTCTTTTTTGCACTGGTACTAGTATCGTTTTTACGCCTTCCCAATTCGATACTGTAAAAGTTGCAGCCACCAAAGACTTGCTTGGAGATTAGTCGAAAGCATAGTTTTCATAGCTGTTGGAAAACTGTCGACTGGATTTCCCAGATTGCCTCCCTAGCCTACTTGACAGTACTTTAATATAGCCCTAGGCAGGATTTTTCTCGTCAGCTAAAGACTGTATCCACACGGTCTGCGGAGGTCTGTCCACCCAGCAGTAATGATTAACCCCTGAACAAACTGTGGCAAGACTTCAAAGCGCGCCCGCCGACACCCTCTTGTACGAATATCTCAGGGTCAAAGGTCGGAGGAGCTCAGTTTTCATGGGAAAGTAAATGTAGGTCTAAAGTAAGTAAACACGCTTCTCGCGGAGGCTGTCACCCCCTCAGCCATATGACAAGTGGTACGGTCTTTGAACTGTATACTTTCAGTATACTTGTGTGGTGCTTTGTACGTATTTCCGGTTGTGAGCGTTTTATCCCAAGGGCAAGGAGAATGCGAAAAGACCAGGTTTTGGACTATATATGCAAAGCTAACTCTGTAACAGGTCCAAATATACAATGAAAGCACTCTTGTAGCATAAGACATGTATTGAAATTTTAGGCTAACGCTTACGCACTATTCTGTTATGATAATCCAAATTCCATTCAAGGAATCAAAAAAGAAAGATCGGTCCTAACCCACACGATTCCTGTATTTTGATGAGTGATACAAAACACCCCTATGATTGTTTGTGGATCGTCCCTTATGACCCTGACCTCCTGTTCTGCAGGTAAACTGTACAAGAGTAAAGTGTGCTTCACCAAACACCTGTGGGAACACTCCGTGTACTGGGACCTGTTCGACGGAGAGAAGAACCACGACCGCGTGCTTTCCATACAGGTGGGCGGGACTGTTACGTACACGGCCCTACCAGGCTTCGGGAAGCAACTGGAAAGAGTAGAAATTGGCCAGATAGGCAGATGATATGCCAGGGGAGTTGGTCCGCGCTGAGATTACAGTTTGACACTCCAACGCTTCCCGAAGCCTGGTAGAGGCTACGCCCATTGTGCTAATACAAGTATTTTCCTAAAGCGTTTAGAGTACTTCAATTCACTTTTATCTTCACGATGGAAAAAATGGCGGTCGACTGAGGAAAATTGACCAAAATTGAGGAAAGTTCACCAATGATTTGATAGTTAATGGTAATGACAAGTGACCGTGATAACAAATGTACCTGGTTGTTCAACCATCCAGTATGGCACAATACTTACGTCATAGTCACGTGAGTGCAAAAACATAATCACCATAAATACTTAACTGTATTTCCAGGCCGCCCTGATTCTATATAAGAACTTCCAGCTAGCAGACCGGGATCAGAACAGCTTGTCGTTCCTGCTAGTTACCGGCCCCCACACCAAGGACGCCAAGACCGAGCACAGGAGCGACAGCGCCTCTCCAAAAACTAAACCCCGACACAGGCACGACAGCAAAGGGAAGACAAGTACAGACAATATGTAAATTTTCACGGTAACCATGACAACGAGAGAAAAGAACAGAGTGGTTTCCATAGCAACAAAAGGACTGACGATAGTACAGAACGCTACTCGGGTGATGGGCACGACGATATGACCACGCTATTGGACGAGGATCGTTGCCATGGTGATGCTTATGACGGACACCACAGATCGCCAGTATCGAATGGCGCGAGTTTCCATGGCGACAGTTGCCATGACAGTCGTTTCTATGGTATTAAAAGAATGAAAATGATCTAACATACTCATAGCGCGTACTAGTTGTTTCTGACAGCATTACATATTCCGGCACCCTAGATTCTTTTGTATAGATAAGTAAGTTAGAGAGAGAATTGTATAGCTTTATTTCAAGAAGAAAAGAAAAGTAAGTTGATTGATAACAAAACCAAGTTGTGAATACTACTAGTATTTTTTTCCTTGGCGAAAAACTTAAAACTTTGGCCGGGGCCGTTTTATATGTCGGTGAAACAAGTGATTTAAAATGTTGCAATTCAAATGTGCAAGAAAAAAAGGCTAGATGGTAATATGTTAAATAACGAAAACTGAGAGCCAGTACTAGTATATATACAACGATTAGTCGCGCCTATATCCCATTGTATATATTGTTCAACGCAAACGTACAAAGTAGATAAGTGTCAAATATATTTGCTGTAAAAACGCTGTAAAATTATTGTACTTCCATACGTTCCTCTTGTTCCTATGTTCACTGTCAGGTTGATCAGTTTGTTTGTCCCTTATATGGACTTATAGATTCAACTCTGTGTAGCAGGCACTAAATATAAGCTTTCGTTTTTGTAGTTATACTGTTTTGCATTCGTTCTTTTATCATTCTCGTTTCCAGCTAAAGTACGGACGTTGTTTCATGGTTGCTATATCACATTGATATCATATTTTCGACAGTATCTGTCCTTTTTTGTCCTTGTATCGTGTCATGAAACTATTGTAATAAATATAGCCGAAACTGCCGACGTTTTGTCGAAATGCCTACGTCTAAACCCAGGTGTACTGTACCCTAGCCTAGACCAAGGGCGTGAACTGAAGCTAAACATAGGTAATCTGAGTGTTTATCTGCTGCGTATACATGGCGTCGTCTCTTTAAACATGGTCTGATATATGGGCAAAAAAGCGCCGTCCGGAAAAGGGGGAAAGTTATACGTTTTACCATGATCGTTGCCTATGAGCATGAGTAATTGGACAAAAGTATACCCAGATATACACCAAGCTATATGGCTATAACCTCCTTGTATACACCAAAGCCGGTTTTAATCAAACAACTTGATGTGATTTCCTCCTTGATTTTGTACACCTAGGTACTTCTGCCTCCCCTCGTTGTAAAGTGAATCTCCCCTGATCTGTGGAAAACACACAGTGGAAAAGCTTGTTTGTCCGTCCCCTGTGTGTGCTCCAACACACCCGAGATTTGTCTTGCCGTGGAGAAATGTACTGAGGAATGTGCGTGGGCGTCTGTAGGACAAGCCTGACAGTGTGTTTTGCTTGCAAAAATAAGACTTGATAAAGGAGCGTTGACCAGCGAGGACATGTAGTTTGTAAAATTCTATTTTATACTTATTAACATCACCTAGAAAGTTAAAAATCGCAAAGCAGGACATTTGGATCTATTTTGAGGCCTTTTGATAGCCCGAATAGTCGGCTATCTCACGGTAAATACGTCGACTTGCAAGGTAGCCGGCGTCTTTTTAAAGCTGCATTATGTAACTTTTGGACAAGGAATGGGACAAGACGAATTGGGGTGGGTCTCTCTAAAGCTACACGACTCCTCCCATGGGGTCAATAAAGACTTCGCCACCATCTATACATGGGAAATATATAAACTGTTTTAAAGATTCGGAATGCCCGAACAGGTTAAGATTTTCGAAAATCCGAAAGAGATGTGAAGCGTCACCTGGCGGACTATTATCAAACTTCAACCACGAGAAACTGTCAGACGACATAAACCACGGAACAGGTGCAAAGTTCTTTACAGCCTTACCTTATCTAGGTACTTTTTTTGACGCAAATTTTTGTCATCTGTACAATAGAAAGACCTGAAGATTCATGCAGATTCCTTATTTGTTTTTCTTCTGTCTTTTTCTTTTGTGTGAAATTCTGGATTTTGTATGAAATTCCCTACCATTTCTGTTGAAGGATTTCCCTCTTCATGCAATTTGACAACGTTTGATTATGGAATTTTCCCTATAAGAATATGATTGGTTAATTCCTTGCTAATACAGATGAGACTCCTGCATATAGTGAAATTGTGCTACGAAGTGCTGCATGTACCAAGGAGCTTATAATGTCCTTGCATGTACCAAGCAAAGTACAGTAACTATATAACCGCTTCCTACTCTTTTCATAGTCGTCAAAATACGACCTCTAGCGGTTTGTAAGGTCTATGCAAGTCTCGAATAAAAATATAGTGGAAATTCAATATATGGGCGTTTGCCCTTTGGCCCAAACAAAGTCCCCTTCTCTGGGTCATAAACACTACAGATGTCTACAGTGATAGAGCATGGTAAATGATTTGCCAAAGAAGAGAATGTAGGGCATTTAGACCCAAATCTCTTCTCGGTTGGCGTCTGTGGCAAACATCCAACATTGACGAACAAAGTTTTGGGCTATTTCTCCACGTTTGCTCCACCCCCTTGAGGGGCGTGGTTCAGACTATGGGACAACAAAGCATCATGTGACAAGGGTAGACATCAGCTGATAAGAACACACTTTGGCCTCTGAGTCAACAAGTTACTAGTGAACAAAACAGCAGCGGTAGACGGAGGGAAACAGTGTATAAAGACTTTTCTAAACGCTCCTAATTCCCCTAAACGTCCGGGCGTAAATTGTAGTATATTGAGATTGCAAGTACAGCAATAGAGCGTTGTTAACAATGGCACGGCCTCAGCCATCTCATCTTGTCCTTCTGTGCTGGATGGTCGCGATTTTGGTTCTATGTGAAGTAGGGTTCGTGTCAAGTTCATCACGGAGCGTGTTGCTGACCAATAGTAGGACACCTCTCAAAACTTCAAGGTTTGGAAGAAGAGACCCAGAAGAAGACATGACACCAGTACGTTATACCGGTATAATCTCCAAGTAGATGTTGGAAAGGAAGGTAGTAAACAGTAGGAGCTTGAAGGCACTTAAGGAATAGACTTTTGTTTTCGTTTTGTCACTGTTATTTTTTTCTTTCATTGGAAGACTTAATTTCCTTTGCTAGTTACAGTTGAGATAACTTATGTAAAGGCATCTGGTGCAGTTTTCCATTCTTTTTTTTCTGATAAAAGTAACACATAATTCCCAGTCAGTTTGATTGTATGAACTGTAATTGTACTGATATAACTGTCATCCCATTTATAATGGGACCTGCATTACTTTTTTCTGGCTTTACCAGGCTTAACCAGTCATTTTAACTGTACATCATTTGTCTAATACAATGTAATATATTATTGAAGGATGTTTCTGAATGCACTGTAATGTGCAATAAGGAGGAATTATGCCATCCCCCTCCCCCATGCAGACCCCCTGTAATCTCTTCCCGCTTCCTCTAACCCCATACAGACCCAGCTGATCACCAGTAAGGGTTACCCCTGTGAGGACCACTATGTCACTACAGACGACGGCTTTATTCTCAACATGCAGAGAATCCCACATGGACTTCGCGAACCAAACAGTACAGGTAGACATTAGATGTCAATATAAAAGGTTATTAGTCATAATTCTGATGAAAACGTGAAATCAGTTCTTTAAAACACACTCATCTACTCACGTATTTACATTTGAAAGCTGTGGAAACATTTTCTTGGCGTATAAATTGCTATAGAAGAATCACTGTTAGAAAACAAATTCGCTGTGATGCATTTTTATAACCAACAGTTAAACTTCATACTGTACATGCACTAACTTTTTTTCCCACAGTGACAAGACCTGTGGTTTTCCTACAACATGGACTTCTGGGATCATCCACCAACTTCCTGACCAACCTAGCCAATGAGAGTCTGGCTTACATCCTTGCAGACTCCGGGTGTGACGTGTGGCTGGGGAATGTACGCGGAAACACGTACTCACGAAACCACACCACGCTGAAACCCAGCGAGGCCAAGTTCTGGGCATGGAGGTGAGACTATTGCAACTTCTGTTTAAAACATAAAGCCACAGTAACATCTCTTCATCTCCAGAATTAAGGTGAGAAAAGGGTTACTCTTGTTTGCCATATGCAAAATATGGCAGCATCTGCATTGACCCATTGCACATGACCTAAGTAAGCAATGGGTCAGTTATCCTGAAGAAGACAAGAGTCTGGTCAAAAGTTATTGAGCCTTAGGTTGGGGAAAAAATTAATCCTAGATTAACCCCAGGCCCAAGGCTTCATATGACATGACGTGCTGGAATGAACCAAACTCAAGTGTTCTGAAAGTATTTCTTTTGACTGAAAGTGTTTATAATAGTCATAAAAATAGAATCAAACCTAGAAAGAAGTATCTTTTAATGTATGTATTTGTTCTTGAGCTTTTGAGTCTGTATTTGCTTAATATTCCTTGTCTTAACTCCCACAGTTGGGATGAGATGGCCAAGTACGACCTTCCCAAGATGCTGACCCACGCGCTGAACGTGACCAAACAGACGCAGCTGTACTACGTGGGCCACTCCCAGGGGACCATGATCGGGTTTGCAGAGTTCTCCAGGAACCAGGAGCTGGCCAGGAAAGTCAAGACCTTCTTCGCTCTGGCTCCTGTGACGACTGTGGGGGATATAAAGTCACCCATCAGACTGATGGCTAATTATGCAGATCCAGTTGAGGTGAAATCAGTTTTTAATTCACTTTCTAACAACAATCTCATCTTTTCCTCAGGGTTGGTAGAAAAAGAGTTCCAGTCCATCAAAAAAGAAGTTTGACCCGGCAATGGAAAAAGAGGCAGAACAACCTGTTCTATACCACACTCTCCCTAGCACAAAGTAGAAATTCAACAGTCTAGTACTGCTGATGTCTTTCCATATAGATCAGATGCCATATGGGAGTCTGCATAGTAATGTTGGAAATTCAGAAGGATTGGCAACACTCAATGCTAAATTTAGGCATAATTTACACAAAATTCAAGCATCAATCAGTCAACTGCAACATCTTTTTGTACCTTGCAAGGTTAGCACAGAACAGGATAAGTAATGTAATCATATTGGTTCAATAACAACAGATGATTTAAAACCTTTTCAGTTGCTGTTTGACATCCTGGGAGATCACGAGTTTTCCCCCAACTCCGAGTTTATGCATTTCCTGGGACAAGACGTGTGTGACCACCCTGTACTGGACGTGGTGTGTGAGAACGTGTTGTTCCTCATCGGTGGCTTCAACTATGGCAACACAAACATTGTAAGTATAACACTGGCTTCACTGACTCCTCAAAATCAACTGTTGTGCATTTTTATTTCATTCGTCACTGCCAACAAACTAAATGTGTAATTTTGTATTTTCCCAGACAAGAATCCCTGTATATGTGAGTCATTCCCCTGCTGGCACCTCTGTGCAGAACATGGTACATTATGCACAGGTAAGTTTAATATAACCCCCCTTTAAGTAAACAAGTTAAGAAGCAATTCAAACCTTCAACCTCTGGGTCCACAGCATTTCACTCTAAGATATATGAAAATCTGCATGATTACAAAAGTACCTGTTGATAACTTTTAACATCATCATTGTGTAAATAATTACCCAAATGAAAGTTGCTACAGAAACAGTTTGTGACACCAAGCCATGTTGTTGTTTGCTTTTCTTTTCTTTCTTCAGGCTGTCAAGAACCACAAGTTCCAGATGTATGATTATGGCCTTGTGGAAAATTTGCTGAAGTATAATCAGGTAAGTCACAAACTGCCTTCAAGATACAGTAAGGTCAAACATGCCATGGCCGGGTTTGCAATACATATGCAAATTCATTCTGACATTTAAATGCATTTTTAAATTGGTTGTTACTTGACACAGTATCAAGAGGTTGTGTATTTGATTTCTGGAATCCCTGGCTAGACGTTGCATCCTTGGAAAAGGCACTTAACATGACTTTTTGTCACACCACCAGTGTAAATGGGTACCTGACTTGGGGAGGTAAAAGGCTCTGTAAGGAGAGGGATGGACTGCACTTTCCGATACCCCCAAAACTCACGTAATATCAAAAAGGCTATTGCACCTTTGCCCTTTTCCGTTAGTGGCGTTACCTTTTTAAAACTTATCTTTCTGGCTTGTTGTTTTTGGATTTTTCACAGCCTACCCCTCCACAATACCAACCAGAGATGATGACTGTACCAGTGGCCCTGTTCACTGGAGGACAGGACTGGCTGGCCGACCCAAAAGATGTGGCCACCCTGCTCCCAAGGCTGAAGAACAAGGTCTATGTTAAAGACATACCAGAATGGCAGCACCTGGACTTCATCTGGGGGATGGATGCTCCTCAGAAATGTTACAAGGACATGTTAGACATCATCAAGAAACAGGAAGGGTGACAACCTGCCCACCCCTACTCACTAGTGGTGACTTCTGGATTTCTCTCAGTCTTAGCTCATCTTGGGCCAGTTCATTATTCTGATAGGGGTTAATATTATCATATCAAAGGGAACATTCTGAAAATTTTGACTAACAAGGACAGGATTGTGCGATAAGGTGGGCAACCTTTTATGATTCAAAACACATTTTATTGGAAGACAAGTAATGATTTCAAAAATCAGCAGCTGAAAACAAAATTGCATGTTTCATACAGTTACAATTCCTGGGCAATAAAGGATGGTTGATATCAGAAAGGAGTGTGAGATCAGAGACCTTATGTGGGCATCACTGTTGAGTGTAGTTCCACCATCTGCTGCTAGATGGCACTTACTAGCCATCTGCTATGCAGAGGATGATGCAATGATGACTCAGCAGATTCAATTGAAAGTACTGTGCAGTGTGCAATGTGGGGATTAGGGAATGGGGAGTGTGCATTCCAGGCCCAAGGTAGCTGCACGGCTGGTATCAAAAGAAACGTCGGTTATGACTTGAGGTATTACGTGGCGTCTGTTGAAATAGTTTTGGTTGCACAGTACTCTCGATCATCTAAAATTTTTAGAGAAAAACTGATAGAAATAACCAATATTCTTATTTTGCCATACACGTAGGCACATAGGCACAGTATGCAAAACGGAATTGTACATGCTTCAGGAAACAATTGCTTTTGCAAATATCACTGCTGAAATTGCTTTAATCAAAGGGACACCAACTTGCAATGTTGTCTGTAAATTAAAGACTGATCATTCAATTAAAGGATAGCCATGTTTCAATACAGTGGACAGCACATTTCAATCTTATTTAGACAGGTACATGTATCCTGCTGATAAGTAACGATTAGTTGGTTTGCCAGATGATGTATAACATGTAACATACACCCCCGCAGTATTTGTAGTTTACATACAAGCTTGAATTCTGTTACATTTATTATAGTGTCATGTGTGACTTTTTATTTTTCTTCAGGATTGGAATGTATCTTTTTTTATGCTGACTTATGAGGTCAGTTGTCCAGAGGCCAAATTAAAGCTCCTGTGGACTGAGCATCTTGGCCAATTATTTTACTTCTTACAGAATCCCATGATCTGTACCCCCATATGCCCTGGTGAAGGCTTCGAATTGGTTTCCTTTGGCAGTTGTTACACTAATAGAAAACAAATGGTAGGGCCAACTACATCAATTTCCAGTACTGTACATAAAATTAACAGTTTCACTGTGGCCTACAAATAATGTACAACAGAACATACATGACTACCAAGCTGGCTATGTGATATACTCAGGGAAAAATGCAGGCAGACCCTGGTAGACTTTGCCCTCTCCCCATAATAAAAGCACCTTTGTTTCCATGGTACACAAAAGTGCCTGTAGAACACCTGTATGTACACCCAGCCACGGTACCCACAGGTTTGGTAGTACCGGGAGTATTTTTGTTGTGGGCAGCAAAGTAGAAATGAGTACTGTTCTGTCCCTACACAGCTTGTAAGAATAAAGAAGGGGGCAACTAACTGCATTCAAGATGTATAGAACAATAGTACACAGTGGTTTCAACCAGCCTATGATCTCGAAGCAGTGTGGCATGTCAAAACTAAATCAATATTAAAACGTTTGTACATGTATGTAAAAATACCCTTTTAAATGTAGCCCTAGGTCAGTGTACCAAACAAAAGTGCCACACCCAAATTTAGCTGCAGTGCCTCCCCTGTCCACTAGGTGGGTGTATAAGAAATGACAATTTTAGGAAAGTCCATCCAGGATTGACTCCCTAATTACAATGTAATTTTTTCAACACAAGAGGTCCAAGAAAGCAAGTTAAAAAGTTCCTGACTAACAAATCCAACTCTGAAAATTATAAAACCAATTTCAGACAGCCTAAGAACCAAGTAAAACTATTATTCTCTGGCCAGGGCAAACACAGGTGACAATGTAAACAATTGTTCTAATCATAACCTATTTTCAAGGACGTGCCCCATTGTTCATGGACAAGCAGATAATGTTTCATTGTGTAACCCATTTACTGCAGTGCAGCTGCTGCTTTGGAGATATCTAATTTCCTTTGTGACATGCCAAATTTTATGCAACATGTACATACTTGTAACTATAACAGTAATACCACCTACACGCAAGCAACTCAGAACAAAAACTTGACAAATGGTATAAAATATTACTAATATATGTAACTTCCCATTTCAAGACAGGCTGTTATCTTTTCCAGCAACAGGCCATATGTGAGCAAGAAACTATGAAAATCATGGATCCCAACTGGATTTCCTTTACTCTCCTAGACCAATCAGGCTACTAGTGTACTGTGCCTAACCTTGCTAGGGGTAGGTTGTATGATCAGAGTGAGGAAATGAAGCACACAAAATATATGTATAAAAGTAACTCCATTTTATTGTATGGTGTGTGTTCCATGGTCACATGACGGGGATTCTATCACCACTACTGGAATACAAAATTCAAAAGCAAACCAACAATAAAAGCGAGCAAACACACACACAAGTTACATACTACAATCACTGGAAAATTTGGATACCTCACTGTTTTGTCCAAGACCTAAGTCTCTCACAATATGCTGCCAGATATACAGGCTATGACGACGGGCTACAAAGATTGCTGTTTCACACACAGTTTAGCAACTACTTCAGCTATCAATTGCTTTGATTTTTTTGTGTTTTCGGGTCTAAAATGGTACTACTACTATACAGCGTCAGGACGATGACAGGTGGAAATGGCGACTGTCGGCTAAATACAAGAAAGCATAGAAGCTTGGAATCATAGAGGACATCGTAGACGTGGAATGGTACAGCTTATGTGGCCTTCTGAGATCCCTTCTTGCCGATCAGACTCTTGTGGATGTGGGGGATCACACCTGCAATACAAGCAATGTCAGGTCATTATTTGTCAACTTTTATCAACTTCCATTGCACTGCATCAGTCCTAAAATTGACAATAGGCAAAAGCAAACCGATACTAGTGGCAATAATATATGCAGTAAATCAACAAATTCCTCAACATTCTAGCAAACATAACTAGATATATTGATACAACCTCTGCACATTCAATTCCCAAGGCTTGGGCAACCAACAAACATAGGAATCTCAATTTTTGGAATGACCATTGTTGCAGTAAAGTATACTGTACTTACCACCACCAGCAATGGTAGCCTTGATCAGAGAGTCCAACTCCTCGTCTCCGCGGATGGCCAGTTGCAAGTGACGCGGTGTGATACGCTTCACCTTCAGATCCTTACTGGCATTCCCCGCCAACTCTAGCACCTGAAAATACGAAAATGGACAAAGTGTGCTTCATAAACCTTCGTACATCAACTTGAAGTAACAAGTGTTGCAAATTCGAAATACATGCATATGCATGCTCCAATTTCCCAAATACTGTTTCTATCCCTTTCTCTTCATACAACTTAAATTTGTTTCTTTTTTAGTTTTGCCTAATTATAAGCTACACCAAATTTTCAGGTTATTTGAGAATCAACATTCCAAAGCTGTGACAAGATTATTTCTTGCATACAATGACAGGATACATTTATTTACACAAACATCACTTATGTTGCTACTGGGATAATTTTGTATATCTGATAGGGTAGTTTGGTTGAAAGCTAAAATTATGAGGGACAAACTACATTTTTGTCTGTTGCAATTGTGACTTAACTCTTAGAATATTAAAATACCTGGAATATCCTCCAGGTAAAATACTAGTAGTGGTTGCCAGTCCAGTTACAAGTTTGCCTTGGCCTCCTAAAAAGGACTAAGCACTGAATACATTTCCCTATGCACAAAAACAATACCTGAACAAACCAATTAGCTTTACCTGTGAAAAAGATGTGTACAAAACTAGCCAAGTGTCTGGTACATTTCCTTTATGTATACAGGATGAAAATATCTGTTTTGACTTTCAGTCAATGTGTTTTAGTACATGGAGGTTATTAGTTTTACTCATTAATTCTTTGTATTTGGTGGAAGGAAAATAAATTCTGGATGCGTGCGCCCCCCTCCCACAGGTAACTCAACAAAACACATCCTCCAGTGCTCGTTATGTGGCAGACAACATCCACCTTTTTAATGCCCAGAATATCTAACGAAGAACCTTTGTGTTCGACCAGATTGCTCCTCTACATGAGAATGGCGGCCCAGTTGTATAATTACGTCAGAAACTATGAATATGAATGCCGGGTGGAGGGGACGCTGTGTTGTCTGTTCGAACGGTTTTGAGCGGGAAACACCACAGAATCCCGCCAAATTTTGAAAGCATGTAGATAGGCATCCGGCCAAAATATTTACAACAAATTTTAGATAATATGAGTTCAAACCGTGAAAATGTCTTTTTGGCATAAGAAGGCTTTGGCGGAGTTTGAATTAGAAACGGAAACGAATAAAGGGTTAGGAGCAAATGGGAGGTTTTGTTTTCATCGCGGGGGGTCGCAACAAGGGCGCGAATTATGTTTTTACTACGACTACAAATTGCAATTTCTCGGCGATTTATGCATATTCTGCAGAAATTCTTACCTCAGCGGTCAGATATTCGAGGATAGCTGCGCTGTACACGGCGGCTGTGGCACCGACACGGCCGTGGCTGGTCGTACGGTTCTTCAAGTGCCTGTGGATACGGCCGACCGGGAACTGTATGGGGAGGGGCATAGGGAGACCCGGTTCAAAACATTGGCCAAAAATCGACATTTTAACACACCAACTACACAAAATACTTCACAAAATGTATACGAGGGTAGCTGTTATTGATATATGGATCGTTCTTACCTGTAGTCCTGCCCTTGCAGAGCGAGAGATCGCCTTCGCCTTTGCCTTTCCAGAGTCCTTTCCAGCCTTGCCTCCAGCCTACAAAACAAAGGCCAAAATTTTCATAAAAAACACAACATCGACGTGCAATAATTGTTCTACATGTACAACACATCCTTAACAGTGCATATTTGATAAAATATGAAATGGATGGCTAAAATTTTTCGAAGTATTGCGCGGATTCTGGAATAACTTACCATCTTGATTTGTACTGTCTTCTTCGCACAACAAAGCGACGCCACTGATGGCCCGCCAAATGCATGCTGGGGTATTTATAAGCTTTGGCGATGACGCTACATTTTTGACCAATCATTGCGCGCCTACGTTTTGAATGGACCAATCACAAACTAGAAACGGCACTCACTGTTACAATGTATTGCCTATTTTACTCCATGGTATTGCATGATGTGGCGTTGTCAGAAATGTTAGCAAACTCATGAAACTGTTTCTAAGTCCATGGTATACATTAAAACAGAAACCATCTACATGGCCATTAAAAGTCGAGGAAAAAGATTGCATCTTTGAAAAAAGTGAACACGTGTTCAAGGCTTCGCGCCAATCGCACCTGTGTTCTATTATAATTTATATAACGTTATAAACGTTACTCAACACTGAGCTGCAGAATTGCAAATTCCAACTTTCAGTAATTATAATTTCAAAGCGCATGTGACTAAACGTTACAACCACTCTGTCAAGTTATTTACAGTGTTGATCCAATTTCTAGAAATTTTACAAACCCAAAGGAGTCTGTTTGAGATAGCCTCTAACAGGCTCCATAAGTAAGCGGCTGGTAAAGTAGAGCCAAATACTGGGAGTTGGTCCCAAAAAACAGTGCTCCTTTAGCGGACCAACTCCACTGGCACGTAGCTGTCTATTTGGCGCCTAATTTTTACTCTTTTCGGCCGGTTCTAAAGCCCGGTTGAGGCTATCTTTGGAGACTTCTTCAGGTACTGAGTTTGCCCACATATTTGCAATATACAAGTGGCCGCTAAGTGTCGCTGCATTTCATACTGAGCGAAGAAACCAGACCTGGAAAAAACCGAATCCATTCAATCGTAACCATGATGGGTAATGCCGGATGTGATCAGGATGTGATGGATAGGGGAACGTAGGGATAGGAAAATTCGATGAGTGATTGGCCAGAAGTGTACATGTAATATCTAGATTATTTGACTATTTTTCAGCCAGCGTTTTAAGCTAAAGTAGTCTCTATGAGCCTCTACTAAACCGCGCTCCTGGCGGCCGCCGCCCTAAGGTTGCCGCCCCCAAAAGGGGTGGCGGTCATTAACCTCCGATCGAAAGCTTGTGTATAACAGGCTTAATGTAGTCTCCACTAGACTTCTTTTGCAGGCTGAATAAATCGTGAAGGTAGCCGGCCATCGACGATCAAATTCTTGCCGTGCGTCGATGGTCGAAGTCTCTCGCCAATTAATACCCTTTTTAGGCCGATTTCTACGATTTATTCAGCCTGCAAAAAAAGTCTGGTGGAGACTAGGTTAAATGAGCATCCAGCCTCTCTGGGCTGCTTTATAAATATTCAAGCACATGTTCATAATGTTTTCTAAGGCAATCAGTGTTTGTAATTGCTACTTACTAGTACTTAGTATCAGTTTGGTTGTACTTAATTTTACCTGATGTTGTACCGGTACACCATGGGAGCCAGTCGTAAGGGCCCAAAATGTTGATGTTACAATCGAACACAACATATAATTATAATTACATGGGTACCTTTATTTTCGCGTCACTGCTACAGAAAGTTATAATGCCCTGCTTACTGAAATGTATTATAAACGAGCTTTCCTCAAGTGTGTCAGTTAAATAAATGGAGGCGAACATGTACTTTGGATTTTGGCCTACATAATTGGCACCGACGGGACTACAGGTGAAAAAAGTTTTGCCCCTTTCTGACAAGTTGGACTAGATATGTATGGAATAATTTAATACGTACTGATAATTACAACGATGGACGAATATCATCACTGATTGTTACGTTGGCTTGTAGAAAATCCCAGCTCCCACTGGTCAGGTCCCTACACCTCTAGGGTAGGATGGCTAAACAGTCTCTCACGACGAGAGACTGTGCCACACGGCTTATATAAAAACCCTATAAATAGTAAAAACACGTAACATGACGTCGCAATCCATATATGGTAAACAGGTGACGTAGTCCTCATCTGCAGTCAAAGGACCGGAAGCGGTAACCCGAGGCTAAAAATAGACCCATACCGTTGGTTGCAGGGGTATGGGGATTCCCTCACGCGCTGCGTCGTCAGGATAAACACAAAAGTATCCACAACCGACCACTCTGCTTGTTTGCTTTACCCCTAGCGGTGTAAAGAAAAGTGGAGTTTGTATCAAAGTTTTCTTTCCCACAGAGTTCACAGGGAGAGAATAGCTTGGGGATATGTATGGGCGCGGTTTGGAGGTACCCACACAGATAGCTAATGCTAACTCATCTGTAAAATCACACGTGTCCTCGATACACAGCACAGAGCAACATACAATAAATAAAAGGGGAGAAACTTTACCTTGCCGTTCATGACTTTTTTTTTTACCTGTGAAAGGTAAAAAAAAATGTCTTGCTCAACTTTTTTTGCCGTTGCGGTCGTCCTTTGTTTGTTGAACGGAGAAAAACACGCGTGGCCGGCCTTGAGTCCATGCGCGCGTGTTTCTTGCTTGCGGGAATCCCCCCTATTTTTTTCGGGGAAGTGACCCCATCCTTCCACCCATTACACACAGGTGGGTACGGTTGATTACGAGATAACAAAGAATGGCTATATATGGTGAGCAGGTAGGGTATAAATGGGCGGGAAGACCACCACCCCACATGTCAGTCGGATCAACCCGAGGACGAAAGCAACACTTGCCGGCCCAGAGAGCTAGGACGTCTTCAGACAAGTGCAAATCTTCACGTTGAAGGTAAACATTTTTTTCAAACATTGAACACTGCTAGAATGTCGTATTCGGACCGCATATGCGATTTTTTGTGTGATTTTGACCCCTTTCCTGGTTGCATGTGGTTGGTCTTGAAATTGACGAAAGTGCCCGGGCACTTTTAATAATGTTGGCATGGATGGTCCTGTTACTAGTATATTCGTCATGCGATATGATTGTGACAGTCAGTTGAGCCCATGGATGCATTTTTAGGACAGTCGTGAATTGTCATACAAAATATGAAATCTTGTACTGGAAAATATTGTCGTTGACCTTTGTCGACAGTTGCTAAATGGTTCTGCCATAGCTTCGTTAAAAATCCGCCAAAAAATCATATGACAAGCATGACTGCAGGGTACATATGGTAGATACGAAAGTTATGAGGATATAACAATGTACAACAAGAAAGACTAACGTCTCAAAAATCATTGTTACAGCCAGGCACACACTTCCGTGATGAAGGTTTTTACTGTAGTGGTGACCACCATGCTTGCGGTCGAGTTTTTGCTCATGCGGTGCCAGGCTCTACCGGTAAATGTACCTGCCCAGGACAAAATCATCCGTCGCCTCAGAAGAAACGTCCCCGTACCAACGGTAAGGCTGAATATAACGGACCTGTCATGCATATTGTAAAATTAAACTACTCTAAGATCATTTTATGGCGACTTTATGCGATGCTTTGTTCATCATAACTCTTGATTGTAGTTTATGTGGTGCGAATTCTTGCTTGCCAAAAACGTACATGCGGGAAAATCATTTTTCAATGTTTGTAACATTATTTTAAAAGAACGTATAGATTTTACAAAAAGACGGCTACAGTCATTGAACCTTTAGACAACTTTTCTTTGATTTTGCCATTGCCCCCATTGTGTAATAACATTCGAATTCCATGCCCCTTCTTTTTCTCCCCAAAATTAGTGCGGCGGCTGTGAAGGTCTCATAGCGATGATCTCAAGAACAGACAACGGCAACACACTGGACAGGTTCGGGGACGAGTGTAACCAGTGCGGCTTCAGATGTGACAAGAAGAAAGCAGTTACAGACTTCTATGGAAAGGGGCTGGACTTGTGGGTCTGTACCACTGATTTGTAACGCTTGAAGTTACATATTTACACAATCATTGGAAACTTTCCGTCTGGTTCATATAGGCGGCTGAGTTTCATCGCACTTTGATCATACACTATTTGAGCAAAGATGTAAAGGATAGGATGTGGGTGACTGAGTGTATTTGTTATTATACACACATCCAACATTCAAGTTCTTGAGTAACGCTGTACGTATTATTTCTGTTCGAAGTACAATGTTCTTTCAATGCTAGCTGGTTCTGGCAAATGTTAGAAAAGTCGAGTGCTTTTCTGGAAGGACAAAGAACCCAGTAACTTATTATGATGTTTAAGTTATTGTGATGAATTTATTGACCAGATAAATTCAAGCCGGAAAGAATGTAATATCAATAGGTAATTTTAGCCTTGTCTGATTTGTATGCTTCTATTCTTAGTTTATTGCCTGTACTTATAGTTTATTGCCCTTGCCTATGTTTTTTTGCTTCTATTTATAGTTGCTTACGATGTATTTATAGTTTTATTTTTATTAGATATTATTTTTGGTCTACATTATCTACACTGTGGACAATAAGGGTATGAAAACAACGCAATAAACTATGAAATATGGACATACAAATCAGATAAATCTGTATACCAGATTTTTGCCAGGTTCAATTTAACTGACAAGGAGCCTATACTATACAGGTATTATGAGGTATAGGTACTTATTTATTACACTGAAGTATGTAAGGTTGCTAGAGGCACGCTATGCGCCATATAATTTGAAATTAATGATGTGAGTGTTGTTGGTTGCTATGTCCCAGGTGTAATGTATTTGCATTAGATCACAAGTGCATTCCGCCACAAGGATCTAACACGTAGAAAATAATTGATGCATGACGTGTATACTTTTGTTCTAAAGTCACGACACAGCAGACGCTGCGCCAATGCGGTAAGATGTGGCCTATAGTAACCCCAAGTAGTCTGTTTGCTTGTACATGTATCTACAAACGTATCAGATCAAAGACTGTTTTAACTTCCCTAACCCCACCCTGAGTTGTGGGGGGTAAGCCAAAAGCTAGTCCTTAATTGTTGTAATCACGGATATATACATACATGTGTATAGTCCCAAACCCCATTTAGAGTTGTGGGGGGTAAGATTTGTTATAGTCACCAGAGATTGTGCATGTGGAGAATACATACATACATACACGTGTATAGACCCTACCCCATTCAGAGTTGTGGGGGGTAAGATAGCCCCCCTTATTTGTTGTCAGTG